GCTTATCAATGTTCCTTTTTCATACAAAAAAGTCTTAACATAACCTTTGTGCTATTAATCTTTGCAAATAATGGTTCAAAAACCTATCACCTGCTCTTGTTCTCCTGAGAACTAAAGGGATTTCAAGTATGAAGTGAAAATTAGCAAGATACTGCCACATTACAATGATGATTTTCTTGAGGAAATTTCAACAGTGAATTGCTGCATTACAGCAAGTCTTCAAAAATAGAAGCTCTGTCTATAAGCTTCTCTTTTATACCTTTAAGGTCAGTAAGAACAATAATAAATGGAAGGGTCAGAGCACAGAAACACAACAAGAAAAGAGAAAAATGCCTATTCTTTAATAGCTATGACAAGTGAATTCATGCTTCCGTTTAAGCACTGTCACAAAAACCTGTCATCAAAATTTAAAGTAAAAACCACTCTAAGTGAAAGAGACTGTCATTCGACTGAATCTTCTCTTCAAAGATGAATGTCATGTGCTTTCTATAAATGCCTACAGATTTAGAAAAGATGTAACAGATATTTTCAGATTAGTAAATGGTCACAGGCTAACCAAAAAATATACTTCTGAACACCTTAGCAGTATCAAAATCTTGGACCCTTGTATTGAAATGAATTCCTGAGAAGATTCCACAAATATTTCCTGTCTGTTGGTTTGCTTAGTTTCATATATGCAGACTGTAACTAATCAAGTAGGCCAAACAATACTACATTTTATGTCCTTGCAGATGAAAGCAAATTCATCCTTTTTGGACACTGCTCAGGGTGCAAGTGGGAAACAAAAAAGAACCTAAATAAGTTGTACACAAAGTTTGCTACTTGGATCATTAAAGAGAAAGACCCTAACCAAAAATCAATGAAGTCCGGCAAGTGTTCTAAAGGGAGGAGAGAGGATGAATAGAGGAGATGAAGGTGAGAAAATATGGTTAATGGACGTCATATACATATACTAAATAGAACAAGGAAACCTCTTGCGATTGCCTTAAATGGGGCAGGGAGAGGGCTCAGTGGGGGGCGGAGATGGTGGGTGATCTAACCAATACAATGTAAGCCTATTCAGAACTGTCACAATGAACCCCCCCCATAATGAATATATCCTAATAAAAATGAAGGAAAAATAAAAGAAATGTCTCTAAAATGCTATAGAAACTGCACAGGTGGAGGCAGAGTGTGGGAGGGAGTGGGAAAAAATATTTTAAAATCCAAAAAAGAAGAAGAAACTGCACAGGTTGGTTGACTCAGGAGAAGCTTCCCGAAGGAGGGCCATTTGCACACAGGGACCTGTTAGAAAGATCAAAGTGCATCTCATTTCATTGTAGAAAATCAGTCTACAATTTCTTACAAGTATGGTAAGAAAAGACTTAGGTGAAAGGTTGACTTTTATTCTATGAGGTGAGAAGTAACCAGTAGAGATTGTTGGGACAGGGACTGACATGATTAGATGTGACATTTAAGAACTACATCTGGCAGTAGCAGCTGAAGGACTAGGATGTTAGAAGCTAATTAGAAGTCTATTGCAATAATCTGGAGAAAGGCAACAACAGTCAGAATAATGGCAGCAGCCCTGAGTGGAGGAGCCAAGGACAAAATTGTGTTCTTTTGAAGTGGAAGTAAGCCTCCCCTTGGGGATAGTAATTGGCACTCAAACTTGGCATTTAATTCTGAGTTTTGAAGCTATCAGAGGCAGATTGGTAAACTTAAGTTTTTTTTTTTTTTAAACTCAGCCTGTAGAAAATCAGTCTAGTTTAGCACATACTTATTAAGGTTACTTTTTAAAGATTTAAAATGTGTCCATGAATGGTTCTCACATTAGTAATTGTATATGCTACAGCACCCCAACTAATATGTTGAATATATTACCTGATACTGTACTTTGATAGGTTTCTTAAACAGCTAGGATTACACAAATTTTCTTCTTTATATATTCAGGCAAAATTATCCATAAAAGCCATATTACTATGAATCCAACTCTGTAAAGATTTATGGAAATCCTTCTGAGATATTTTTTCATGTGATGCCCTGAGTAGAATATTACACTATGTCCCAAAGGGAATAGTGACCAGAAATACAAGAATATCACTAATGAGTAGCTAATAAGCCTAAGCTACAGCTAATGCATTCATTCATTCATTTACTGAGCTCCTGGGCACTGTGACTAAAATGCCAGGCCAACATGTAAGTGCTGTAACAGTGGTTTAACTAGATAATTCAAGAATGGAATATCCTACATCTCAGAGATCTCAGCACAGAACTATGTGAGCCTTCCTGACTATGAGTTTGCCAGTCAAATAAGACAAGACATGCCAAACATAGAAAATGATATGTGCAAAAGCCAGCTGGCAAATAAAATGACTTGAACAATTTTCCAATTTGGGAAACTCTGAGAGCTAGAATATAAGATAAATGGGGGCAGAGGCATATAAGAAAACATTTTATGCCATGTTAAGAAGTCTTGATTTTATGCTATAGGAAATAGTGAGCACTAAAGAATTTTAAAAAGAAGAAAATGTGACAAGATTTGAATTTTAAAAAGATCATGCAGACATGATCTTTTTAAAGACATGTCTACAGTGCAGACAAAATTTTTCTAGAGAGGGTAAAGAAAGAGTAGACAGCCAACAAAAGTCAGTTAGCAGCCCTCAGGAGGAGAAATAATAAAGATCACAGTCAAGGTAACTGGTAATGAAAACAAGGAGTGGAGAGTAGGGAAATTGATTAGGTAGGTAAAGCCAAAGAGATGTAATGATGAAAGGTATGAAGGTGAAGAAGACAGAAAAGTTTCCCGGATAGCCAGGGAAATGACCTTGCTATCCATCGAAATAGAAAATACTGGGGAGAGACAAATCTGCAAAGAAAAGCTACACCCAACACATGCTCATCTGTCACTCAGATTGAGAGACTCTGCTGCGAGGAGCACAGCTGCCCAAGATTGCCAGCTGCTGTCCCTTCATCTCCTGGGAGACCATACACCCCCTGGGGTTGCCTACCAAAATCAACATACATACAGGACACCCCTCTACTGGACAGCATGTGCTCAGGGACTCCCCATCAGCCTACCTAAGATTTGCTTAGATCTGTTTTGCAGTGAGAGGCTCTTCCCAGCCAGTCTATCCATCTCTCTCCTTTCTCACATGCAGAGGACCTATATTGTGATCTGAAAGCTCTCCCTGTTTACTTCTGTTTCTTCCTTCTTTATTCCGTCCCCCCAAACATTTAGTCAAATAAATCCCTTCATGTTTGACACCATTTTGGCATTTTTTCTGGAAGGACCCCAACTGACACAAGGCAGTGTGTAGGATGTGAAATAAGTAACTGGAGTGAAAAATTTGGGAGCCATTGTACACAGGAATCACTGAACCTTGCGTGAGAATGAGTCTGCTCCATGGTTGCAAACTCTTAGGAAGTTACTATTCTATACCACTCTGCTTTGCATGCTAACAGGTGGAGAAGGGCTATGGCAAAGGTGCAGGCAACATAGAATATTTGGAATTAATGTGGATGAGGCTTTAGACAATTTAGATTATCGTGTAGCACTAGAAGTACAGAGAGGAATTCTTAGCACTCACCCTAGTCCGAGTTTTATTCCGTGTATAAATAAGTGAAATCTTATAATTCTCAGATCTTCATGCCAGTGTTGAAATGTGAGAACTGAGCTATGAGTTTGCTCCAGCCTTTCCAAGTACAAGATACTAAGTATAAAAGAGTTAGGACAGGACAGATCAATATTCTGCAGTATTTGAGAACTGAGTGTTCCTCCACTTGATGGAGGCCTTGCCAACAAAATGCCACCTGGCTCAATTCCACTAGCACAAACTTAATCCCCTCAGCACTATGCTTTTAAACATAGTTTTAAAACTTTAATTGGCTATATAGATGACTATGGGGTATGTTCATTCACATTGTAAAATATTTTTATACTAGTTTTGTCTCAACGTTACTTTGAACTTCTTCCACTTCCTTTTATAATTGGCCAAATTATCATGCACACTATTGAAACCAAGAATTGTTACTAATTGTAAATATAATGACGTAATTTAATTGCACCTTCATTCAAATTATGTAAATGGCTGGATTGTCGATGTGATTACAACTTAAATGTTTACGTATGCAAGAATCACTACAGGAAAACCGTTGATGTTCCAGCCAGGTAGTCTGCCAACTCTGGGCATGCACCCAATTCTGTCCGCCTGAAGATGCACTCACCTAGATAGAAGCCACCTCGTGTGGCCAAAAAAGAAGAAAAAGCTGGACTATAGTTCTTAGAAAACATCTACAGTGTGTACAAGTAAAGAGGAAGAGAAAGGAAAACTAAGATAATATCATTTGTATTAGAACTGCCCTACAAAAACTTAGTAATTATTCTAATCTCTGTCAAGAACACAGACACTTTTTATCTCAATTGAGAATTATATCTCATCACCTATGCAAAGTAATACCTCACATGTGAAATGAGTCAATCCAAAACAATGTGTCAATTTCAAATAATTACAGTGGTAGTAGAATTCAAACCCAAGTTACAATATCTATTGCTCTCTAAGACCATAAACACATGTGAGAGGTATTTTTGTAGACTAAATTCATCTTTCATCCAAGAATTAGTAAAAAGTTTTGTTTTCAACATGTAACTGTTTTGATCTCTCTCATAAGCTCCTTCCCTACAATAACTTAGAAATCACAATAATGGATTTAGTGTACAGCACTTGGTAAAAAAAAATTATTTTACTTTTGCAGACCAAAGAAAAATTCTATAAATACTTAGATGTTTATTAATTTATTGTGTGTCAAAATTATCTCTAAAACAGATGTTTAGCAGTAAATATTAACCATTATTTGAAATATCTGTGTGACAGTAAACATAAACCAAGGTATAATATCCAATTAACAAAAGTTCTACTTCCTTTAAGACAGTAACAAACACTGCAAAAGTAGGATTTTTATATTCTAGTAGTTGTTTCCTTAGAATTGATCAAATTACCAGAAGAAATAAAAATATTTACCGTCTTGAACTTCTGGATCCATCAAGTGATAAACTGACAGATGATTCTATGTTGATATTTTCTTGATCATTTCTTGAAAACTAGGCAAATGATACATTAAAATATCAAATGGTAATAGTTAATTCAAAATATGTAGAGTGTATTTATACTCAACTAAAATAATTTAACTTCAAATTTACAAAAATATATAAAACATTACATTAGAACAAAATCATATATTAACAAAGCATGATTTTTTTTAAAGACCAGGCAAGCACAATCTAACAAGACTCCAGTCAGAAACTCTAAAAGCTACTGGAAAGAGAACATGCTCCTCACCTGAAACCACCTCAGCTACCACAAAGAAAGGTATCATCATCTTATTGACTTGTAAGACAGATTCTAAAATTTAAGAGGTGATTAAAACATTGGCAGGAAGTAAGTTTTGCTCTGTGTACTGAAAACTCTGACATTAATCTAAAATAAAGCTTCCCAGCAATGGATGCAAAGTTCACTTGCTCCCATTAATGCGTCATTAGCAGGTCTGCAACGTCAAACAACCCAACTGCCAGATGGTCTTTTAAGTAGCTTCTACCTTAAAGTGTCCACACCATCCAAGCAAACATTTAAAACTGAAGAAATTAAGTGTCTTATGCCACTCAAAAACAGCTGATAATGGAATTAGCATACATGAACTATTACTTGATCTTTGAAAAACAATTTGATGTTTTTACATCAGTTTGGTGCCATATAACAAATAATTGCTGTACTATCACAAATTAAATATAACACTCCTTTCTTCCAAAGATCCTGAAACACTTTTCACTGCTACCTCATTTTTCTTTACAGCATGCCTCAGTAAGTCAAAAGCCAAATTATTTGCCACCATACAGTTTACAAACAAGGAACCAAGATCACACAGATAAAACAATAGGAAAAAGACGTTTCGTTCCCAATTTCATATCTCTTCCATTAAAGAAAAGAATCTTTATTATACCTGTGTTCCTGAAGATCAGTTTTTATTTAATGTTAAGCCTGGACATACCTAAGTGAGTTAGCTGAAGTTATAGAAGACTAAAAAGTATCATCCACTGCTGCTGAAACCTCTAGCAGTGCCTAAAAGGCTCGTCTCAGAGCAGAGAGTTTACTACTGTACACGCTGGCAAAGAGTCCTAGCAGAAGGGATTAGGATCCAGACAGCTGCAGCTTCTGAGCCTCTGGTTGTATAGCAATGGGGTTGGAATGCCCAGAACTAAGGGGGCTGAAGAACATTTGGAATGTTCCATGTGAGTGTCTTGTGAACAGACCAAGAGCTAAGAGGTGAATCCAAACCGCCTCTGCAAGTTAGTAAAGACCATTTAGAGGAAGCAATATAACTTTTCAACCTCCATGCCAAGAGTTATTCTTAGATTCCGTAGCTGTGGTGTCCTCTGAAATGGAGGTCACATGCTTTTTATGTCCCCTCTCTGGGTGTGAACAGTTTTTAGAATCCAACAGCCATTCCAGCATTTGTGCAGCATTACTCTGCACCCAGGAATCAAATTACCACGATTCCTTGCTATTTGGACTGAATGGGTATGCTGTGGATGTATATTTCTCTGGACACCTGCACATGGGCATCTCAGAGTGCAGATAAACTCTCCTTGCCACTGAAAATATCCTCCTCAATGTAAAGTTACTAAAGATAACAAAGCCAAGCACTTAGGAGTGTGAGTACAGTGTCCAAGAAACACTTTTATACTACTATATACAAAAAGCTGAACTGAGATTACTGAAATGTACTGGAAGGACTAAAGGTCAGGAAGCCTCCCTGTTATTAATTGCTTATGATTTTAGGTCACTTACTACGTTCCTTGGTTTCCTCATCTATATACAGGACATGAAGGGTACATAATATATATTTGTGGTGGGGGGGGAAAGGGGAAGGAGGAAAATTATAGGAAAAACATGCTTGGAAGTCCACAGTCCTAAATAATGCAAACTATTATTCATAGCCAGTTAATTTTGGACAGAGGACACCTTTCTCTTTTACTCTTCTTAAAACAAGAATAAAAATGACTTGGTGAATAAAAATCATCTGTCTTTTTCAAGGAATTATTTGAAATATTATGCAATCCCCAGTACTGTATTTAAGAAGTAGAATCCCTAAGTCAATCTTAACTGATGTAACAATGCACATTTCAATTATATTGAGCTGTTTAGAACGTACATGGAGAACTTCAGAACTTCTGCCTCCAGCTAAGTAGAACCAACACACACACACACACACACACACACACACACACACACACACACACTTGTGTTAGTATCAGACTAGCCTATTGAGTAAGAGAGAAATAGACCATTTTGAGAATCTGATACAGTGACTTATCCTTTATTCCAGCTGAAACAGAATAAAACAAATGTTACTTATTAAGGAAACAAAATTTAAGTTCTTGGCAAAATAATCATTATTTTACCTACAAATATAAATGTAGAAAACTCCTCATTGCCAGTAACTTTGAAAAATGTAATATGAAAAAGTTAATGTTCCATGCCCCTCCTCCCCAAAATATTCCCTTCAAATACCTCAGAGAAATGAAGCATTAGGAAAAGATTTGAGTCTATTTGTGTGGAAGTCATTGTTGACTTTAGAAGAAAGCTGCTGGAGAGGACTGAGAGAAGCAGAGCCATTTGAAATTAGGAAGACATAATAAGCAAAGAAAACAATGCTGGAGTCCAAGTATTTGGGAAGTTTGTTGAAAGGTATCAACTGGTATTTTATCTTTGGTGATGATTTTCCACTTGAAGGCTGAAGAGGGGAAGTAGGGAATGATGGAAACACTGATGATGTCAAAAAGATTAGAGATTTGTAATTTAAAGGCAGATGACCCTAGGCTCAAAGTAGTTGACAATACTACCCTCAGTACTGTACTTTAAACTCAGGGCCTTATGCCTGCTCTACCACTTTAGCCATGCCCCTGCCCTTTGTTGCTTTAGTTGTTTTTCAGGTAGGGTTTCCCACTTTTGCCCAGGGTCGTCCTCAGACTGTGATCTTCTTACCTATGCCTCCCATGTAGCTGGGATTATAGTATGAACCACCATGCCTGGCCTTTGCTTGTTCTTAATTCTAAGCAACCAGCAGTATGAGAGTTCTTGCAAGAGGTCTTAACAGGCTAATCAGAACAAACACCTGAGTCGGAAATAATCCAGCCTTGCTAGCCCTCCTAATGTGGACCCACCTCTGTCAGTTGAACTACAGCCCTGAGCTCCCAAATCTGTATACACAGAAGTCAGCTTCTGACAACTGACATAGCTTAAAAATCAGTCACTGTGTTTCAGTGCTCACAGGTAGAATGATGCGCCCCATTCAGCTTTCCTATTTATTTGCTAAAGCCACAGCAAAGACATTCTTCAAAGATGCTCCAGGAGCATGGTTCCCTCCTGCTGTCCTTGGAGGAAGAGCCCGTCCTTTTAAACCGTGGGAGCAGGAAGATATTTAGTTGCTGGAACTGCCACTATTGTAGAATAAAAAATAAGGGCATCTTATCTTCTTAAAGCCTATGTCTGAGTCACAGGGAAAGCACATTGAGAGTGAGCGCTGATCAATAAAATCCTTTTTTTAAAAAAAAATATGTGGTCAGAAAGCATCAGAGAAACATATAAACAAAGCCTGTAATACAACGAAATGTTAGATAAAGTGGAAAACACTAGAAAAAAATGTAACACACTGAAGTAATGTCAAGTTCAGCAAATACATTTAATTGTCTTCAATTCATTACAAAATGTTGCTCTACCAAATTACAGAGAACACATATTTTTCAATTATGCTTTTCTTTTCCTTCCCCTTGTACTTCTCTTCCCTTTTTTCTTCCCAAACACAGGTCTGGCAGTCACCAGGATCGCTTTTGGTATCTCCCCATCATCCTCACTGGAACTGCTTGTAGTCACACCCCCACCCCTTGCATAAGCATTGTTCACTGAGCTGGGCAACTCTGAAGAGCTGATTTTTGACTCTTGAGCTGCTTTTCTCCTTTGCATGTTCATCACAGACAAACCTCCAGCGTCCTCACCTGAAGATGCCCCAGGTGACTCTGAGAGGCAAGTGTCCTCCAGAAACCCGCCACATTTGTCCTCTTGCTTAGAATCCGAAAGCCTCTTTCTCTTCGGGCTGGATGCCTCGCTCACATTCTTTGCTTGGCTTCTCTTCTGGGTTTTCCCTTTCGCCTCATCCAGTGTCTCAAACTCTTTCTCCATGGCAACAGACACTGCTTCCACTTCACTAGCTGCTTCCTCTCTTTCTTTCCTCAGCATACATGTCACAGCTCTGTTTAGTCTCTGGCTCTTGATGCGTTTAGCATCTTGTTTCTCCTGTTGAGCTAATCTAAAGAAAGAATCAATTCGGAGCTGTGTCTAAAATAAAATAAAATAATGATTAAATCAGGTGAGTAAAATTTCTAAACCAATCAACAAGACCAACCTGATCACACATGTGGATTACTAATTTAGAGAATACTGACTCCTTGCCTCCCAAAAGTCAGTTCTCTCCCAATGACCTGGGAGAAAAACTTCAGTAATTTCTAAATGACACTTAAAACAGTACTTGTACCAACTCTGTCAACCAAGTCCTCAGTCCATATTTCAAATAAGAAATTTCTTCTTGCTGGAGCACTGGCTCACACCTGTAATCCTAGCCACTCAGAAGGCAGACTATAGTTCAAGGCCAGCCTGGGCAAAAAGTTAGTAAGATCCCATCTCAACAAAAAACCTGGCTGTGATAGTGCATACTTGTGCTCCCATCGAGGTGGGAGGCATAGATAGGAGGATCATAGTCCAAGGCCACCCTAGGGAAAAAAAAACACTAAAGCAAAGAAGGGCTGGGGGTATGACTCCAGCAGTAGAGTGCTTGCCTACTAAACACAGGCTTAGAGAACAAATCCCAATACCACCATAAGAAGTAAAAAGAAGGATAGAATGGAATGAAGAAATTCCTTCTTATTTAAATCTCAAAGATCACTAAATATTTTTCTGCAAACAAATGTATCATCTTTTTTGGAAGCAATACAATTTCATACAGTCTGTCTCTAAGTTCTGCTGTATCCTTTAAGACATTATCAGAGTCAGGCATGGAGGCTCACGCCTGTAATCCTAGCTACTCTGGAGGTGAAGTAGGAGGATCATAGTTTAAGGCCAGCGCCAGTCAAAAGAGCAAGACCCTACCTGAAAAAACAAACTAAAGCAAAAGGGTAGGGACTAAAGCTAGGGACACAGGTTAAGTGGTAGAGTGCTTGCCTAGCAAAACTCAAGGTCCCAAGTTCAAATCCCAGTACCACCAAAAAACCGAAGACACTATTATCAAACAATACCATTAGGAGGCATAAGAAATATACATGCCTTTTGTTTAGCAAGTCCACTTTGGGGCAGATCCTCTTAAAATACATATGGAGATTTTAGGCCTAATGTTCATCAAAGCATTATTTACAAAACCCTAAAAACTAAAGGTCCAATAAATAAAGTAAACTAAGTTAAATCTCCTTAATGAAATATGTAAACTGGTCATCTAAAACAGAAAAGAGCTTATGCTAATAAGATTTTATGCTAATGAGCAAAGGGGAAGGGAAGATTAGCTATATTAAGTTGCACGTATGTATGGTAACAAAGAATGTGAGAAAATAAAATAAAATAAGCCTAAATGTTAACACCTGTGTTAGAGGAGGTAGATAATAGTCTTAGTTCACTGTCATCACTTTCTAGTTGTGGAGAAAATTAGTTGCATCATGAAAAGAAAAGTATTACAACAAAATTTATCTGAAATTAAAGAGTAACCAGTCACTAAGAAATTGATTTCATTCCCAGTTTGCTTGTCATGTTTCCAGATGAAGCATAGCCTCAGACGAATAATAGCAAATGCCTGGAAATGTTGTGTAAGTCAGTTTTATGGGCTTTTTTTTTCCAAAATTAACCAAATTTAATAGGAATTCATTTAATATCTTAAAAGATATGTTTTATGGATTGCTTCTGAGGTAGAGGAACTTGTCTGATGTGAGTAAGAACCAATCTAGAGGATCTGAAAGCCACAGAATGGCAGCTTTCCTCCTCAGAAACCTCTCCTACTAATGTACTGCAATGATTAAACTTCTACCTCCCAAGATTAGATGATAAGTTAAAGTGAAAACAACTTTATTGATTAGAATTGTATTGGACTGGATATTTCCTAGACTTTTAAAAAATGAAAATAAAGCCAAAGAAGTAATACGTTTAAAACATTTTATGTGAAGTTGACCATTAGATTAGTTTTTTTTTCAAAGTCAGAATGAACAAAAAAGGACACCACCGTCCAGCCCTAAGAGAGATATTAGAAAAGGAACAAAAGTCCAATTTCTCCTTTTCTATTTCCCTCTGTTCTTTATCAAGGCATTTTATCACTGAACCACACCCCTAGTCCTCTGCTCCATATCACCATTTCAAAATGTATGTTAGAGGCCCTGAAATGAAGAGTTAACTGGTCTTAAGAGCTGCCAAGCACAGCATTACTAAATTTACTCCTGGCTTAGGGAAAGACCCACCATGATTACCTGTTGGACACTTAGTTGCTTTAATACTGGAAGCAGGTATTCATCTGTCTTTGTCCTATTCCAGCCAAAATACCGCTGACAAAACATGCAGGCAGTTAAGAATTATTAGGTGTTTTTAAAGAGATTTAAATAAGTGGTAAATAAAAACATTCAAAGAACCCACCCTTGATTCCATTCCCTGTATCACCAAAGATTTTCATATTTATAAAGATTAAAGTAGCAAAATCAAAGGATAACAAAACAAATTGCTCCAACATGATCAAGTATATTCTTGCCAATCTTCTAAGACAGAAGATATTTAGCTCCTGTTCAAGGAATCAAAGACTCCTGACTATGAAAAAAAGTTAACCCTGAATAAAAGCCAAGTTTCAGAATCCTATGGTGTTTCTTAGAGAAAAAAATAAACTGTATATTCCTTCTATAGAACTTTTTAAACATCTAGCCAAACGATTATTTAAAGGCACATAATGGAAAAACAGTAATAAAAGGACAAATTTAATATCTGTTCTATTCTTTCAGAATATGTGGCCATAACTACGAGTGCTTGTTTCAAATGAAAATCCTCTTTAAAACTAAGGAAAGGACAAAAGGAGCTCTAAAGAGGGTCATAGATAGTGGGATATTAGGGGAAAATAACCCAGGCTCTTTCTATGAGTTTAAACCAAACATATGGGTCAGTGTTCCTGTAAGCTTGAGGAAATAAAGGATACTCTCTAATTTTGTCAAGATCGGGTTTCCCCCAGAGGAACGATCCCTTTGAATCATCCACCACAGGTCTGAGGTAAGCGTCTGCAACTGCTGGGTTAGGAAAACCAGGGGTGAGCTGCAACTTTCGTAGTTTTCTTTTCACTTTGGTGTCATGAGGATTAGGTCTTATCTTCTTACTTGCTTGAGCTTCACGCCACCACTCTCTATAAGGAAAGGAAGCAATTACAAGGCAATGAGCTGTCATGGCACTACAGATAAAGAGGAAAAGGTAAACTTCTGAAATGCAAATTCCAGTCCTAACTCCAAACTGTCATAACAAGTTATATGATGTAAGAACACTATGCTTTTAGTATTATTAGCCTCAAGGTATAATGGTGGTAAATATTCACTGAAGGCAAACTCTGAGCTTGGCACAGTGTTAAATATTTCAGGTGCCCAATAATCACACATCAGATCATTGCCCTTACCTCACACATGAGGAAATTGAATTCACAAAGAAGTAACTTGCTCAAGATTTCACAGCTGGAATTGGTACAGGCAGACAACAATCCTTCTCTAGAACCTGGCTCATTTCATCACCACAAAGTCACAACTTCTCTGAGTCTCTTTCTTGCAGTGAAGTGAAAGTGATACGTCGGCATTACTTACCTCTAATAAAATGCAATGATGGATCAAAGAATACTTAATTAACTAAAAATGCCAATAACATGATAAACTTAAAACTGTAGAACCTAACTCAATATAAAGTATGATTCCAATTTTTATGGGGGGAGTGAACTCAGGGCTTTGCACTTACAAAGCAGGTACTCTAATGCTTGAGCCACACCTCAAGTCCATTTTGCTTTGGTTACTTTGGTGATAGGGTCTTACAAACTACTTGCCTGAACTGTCCTCAAATCATGATCCTCCTGATCTCAGCCTTCCAAGTAATTAGGATTACAGGGGTGAACCACTGGTGCCCAGCAAGAGATATTTTAAATAATAAATAATAGTAAAAACTTTCTCCTGTGTTCTAGGCAATGTTCTAAGCAAAAATACAGGTGTCATTTACTTCTTTGAGTTTTGTCCATTTTGGAATTTTTTTCCATTCTAACACTAATTTATTATGGTAGGGTGAAAAAGGCCACACATTTTTTTGGCACTCCTCCCATCCCAAAATGGGGTCAGCCAGCTCTGTGACTGACTGACCAGAAAGACAGACAGGAAGTAGTATTGTGTCAGGCACAAGAGACAACCCTTTCTACTTCCTGTCTCTGGGAATATTTGCTTCTGGAGGCAGCCACTAAACTATGAGAAAGCCCAAGCTGATGAAGCGGTCCAGATGGAGGATCTGAGGCCCCAGCCCTCTGTTGTTTTGTCTAGTCTCCCACCAGACACCTAGTACCACTGTCCAGCACATGTGAGAGCATCTGAAGCAGACATCTGAGCCCAGCTGAGATGTTCCAGTCGACATAGAACACAAATAAAATATGCCCACAAGTCCAACCAAACTTCAGATTCATAAGCCAAATCAATGCTGTTGCTTCAGTTTAAGGAATTTAATAATACACCAACAGAAACCAAGAAAAAAATATCATTAGGAAAAAGAAACAGCATAAAAGTTAAAAACATAAGCACAACCCTCATCAATCCATGCACTCAATGGAACCTTTAAAAAACACGTACATCTCAGTTCCACTGCTTCACAAACTTATCAGTATTCAGAACTCATTCGGAGTGGTTTATCAGCCTGTGCTCCACCTCGCTGATGCAGGAGTGCCATCTAGTGTTCGTAAAGAATACTTGCAGCCCACATCTCTATCAAAGTGCAAGCAAGAAAAAAAAAATCATCTTTTGTAATCACTTTTACAACACTGTTTCCAAGAGTACACTGGGGGAATATCTATAATTCTCCCCCACTTTATTTGTGAATTATCATATTTGAAATAGTAATCATGACCGCCAGCTTGTACTGCCAGCTTGAAGAATTGGCATAGCACATTGTGAGCTCATTAAGCCAAAATTGACCATTACTTCTTAAAGTAAGAGGGCCAGACACTCAACACAAAGAGGAAAGAAAAGTGGTGGCTATCACTCAGCATAACTGTGGGGAGACAACAGGGAGTGGCGACAACTGTGGTGAGACTGAAGGAGTGGGTGCCCAGAAGGGAGTTGCAGTCACTGCAAGTAGCTGTCTAAGGCATTTGAGAACTTGGGCCCAGCATTTTCTGGTCTCTTTTCCTCAAGAGAATCTGAAAGTTTTTTATCAAATCTCCCCAAAAATAAATGTTGATGGCCGATTCAAAATTAAAGCTCTATGAAAGAACACTGTGTATGTAGACCAAACCAGTTGCAGCTGAGGATGAATTAGTCTGCTATGCAAGAGCTCCACTTCAGAGAATGACTGTCTAGTCACAGTAGAAAAAGAACAGAAAAGAAAGGAAAGTGGCACGCCCAGCTGTACTAGTTCCCACCACCTTCTAGTGCTTTGACTCTTCATTCATCCTAAACCTCTGACAGGGCAGGGCTAAGGCTGCTCCCATCTGAAATTACTACAGCTGACTCTAAAAAGTATATACCACTGTCCCACTCTTATAAAAACTGCAGTACACATTTATACTTGTGTATAAGTGTGTACACAGTGTATAAGTATAATGTGCACAGAAAAGTCTAGTTACATAAACTAAAATGTTAAATGCAAGCCTTTTTTTAATCCATACTTAAAAATTTTTCTATTATGTATTTATTTCATTAGTATAATAGTTGCTTGTAGTTTTTCAAATTATTTACCTACCATGACCTATGAGCTACCCAATAACTTGCCTCCGATATATAAATTTCCTCAGCAATAAGAAAAGTATGAGAAGAGAGACATAGAAAGCATTAAGTAGAACACACTGGTATGTGGTGTGTGTGTGCTAAGACTAGATGGAGGTCAGCAATTGTGACAATTTTGTGTTTCATTTCAGTAACTGACTCTTTAGATCAGAAGGATTTTTTTTGAAACACATTTTTTAAGCATAGGAGATATAACTGAAGACAGCACTGAATTAAATTAAACCAAGTACCACCAAACTGATGGTTAAAAGATGCCCTCACAACCTTATGAATAAAATGAACACTACTGAACTGAACACTCAAAAGGGTGAATTTTATGGTATAGGATTATATTTCAGTTCTTTAAAGCATACTATCAAGAGCGAACCTTAAGAAAAGATTATCTTCACAGACGTAACTCCTACCATCTCAGAGTCCCCAACGTTGAAAAATTGTACCCTAAGTATAGCACAACTCTGGGTTCTGGATGGAATGAGATTCCACCATTGGGTACATCAGAGTAGTCATAGTGAAAACTGGACCACAGCCTGGCTGTACAGTTCCTGGCCTTTTATTTCCATGTTCCTTCTTGGCTGACTTATCTCAAAACACCAGAAGTAACATTTTGTTTGCTTCTCCATCACCCCAAGAGCACAGGGAGCCCCTTGAAGGCACAGACTATAACTTATTCATCCTCCACATCTCCCAAGCCTATATGGAATATGACACACAGCAGTCACTCAATAAATATTTGAATGAAGTAGCAAGTCATATACACACTCCTACGAAAGCCACAGGGCACTGTAACTTGAACTAGGATAAGCCTGGCACCACTAAAGAAGAAAAATGCCTCTGATTTTATAACTCTAGAAACCTCAACCAAGAAGCTTCTGCATTTTCTTGATGAATAATGATTTGTGACAGTTCATGATTTAAGAAACAATTATATTTTTTAATTTGAGTATTTATATAAACATCTGAATTAAAGACATGAAGAACGAACTTACGAGAATTTTAGGAGAGGTTCCAGGCCATGCCCAGGGAATTCATTGAGAATCTCCATGGCTGTCACACAGCCTACAGTAGGGATTCCTTCAGTGTAGTCACTGCCAAGCAAATAGGCCAAATTTATTAACTTGTTCCGGTCCAATCCTACAAGAATAACAATTATAATTTTTAATCTTTATTTTATAAGGATTTCTTATGTAACATTTACAAATACTTGATTATATCAACTATAAATGCATGCAATGTCTACATAACTTCATCCTATGCCAAAGATATCCTTTTTATTATTTGAAAATAGATTGTTTTTTACAAGGGCATTGTTAAGACTATCTTAAAGTTTCATCCACTCACACATCTTTAAATTCCCTATATGTTGATCTCCAAATTTAGTTCTCTAACCTGGCTCTCCCTGAGCTATAGTCACAGACATTCAACTATCAACTGAGTATTTCCACGTGGGTGGCTAGCAGACATATAAATTTGAACATATCCAAACCTTTCTCCCTGCTCCATTTGCTCTTCCTCAGTCTCACTCATCTTACTGATGGCTGGGATACTCCACAGCTGCTCAACACCTCATATCCAATCCTCTCCTTTCACATCCCACACCATCTGCCCATATGCCCTTCTAAAACAACAGACTCTGCTTCACTCTGGTCCCTTCCTACTGTCTGATGTTAACTCTTGCCATCTTCCTTCTCCTCCTCCATTCACAGTGGCCTCCTTGCTTCCCTAGAAAGTGTACGTGAAGGAATTCCTGCCTTGGGGCCTTTGCACTTGCTCGTCCCTTTCACATGCTCTTTGCCAAGATGTCTACTTGTAGCTTCCTATTTTCTTAAAGGCCCTCGCCCTAAGATTACTCACAAAGCCTTTCCTAACAATTCTATTGGAAACAGCACATGTGCTCAGTGACTACAGCTCATGTCTCCTGCTGGCTTTCAACATGGCACACCCACCAACTGTCAAATTGTGACTTATGTATGTAGTATCATCTGTTTTCCTAGTAGACTATTTCATTCTCTGTTGTTTCTCCACTGTCAAGAACAACTGGCATACGAGTCACTCAGTATGCACTTGCTGGATGAATGGAAGAATGAATGGTCAATTCCAGAAATGCTAGTAGAGGCCAGGGCAGGAGTGGTTCTCTGGTTCTTCTCTCATTCACTCTGGATATCTCAGGAAACCAGTCAACTAACCAGGTCAGAGGATTAAACTGCAGGAAGACTAACCATTCTAGGATTTTAATTTCTTAACTCCAATGTTAAAGACTCTGTCCCTCTACATAAGCAAAGAGTTCACTTGTCAGAAATCTACCATCTGTCACTGCATCGAACTGGTTCCCTGCAAAGAAAAAACTCATACAGCAAATTGTGAGGGCCAGTTTCAGAAAGGAGTCACACTCTGAAGTCTTACCTAACTGGTTATGAAAGTCCACATATTGGTAATATTCCACAAACTTGTTTTTATTAAAAAAGTTCTTATAAACATGCCGTGCTCCAAACAGCCAGATATCACTGTCATCAGTAATGGTTCCAGAAGTCTGATCAGTGAGGTCCAGGATGGCACACTGTGCCTCTGCTTCCATGGGAGCATCGATGTACGGAATGCCAAACAGGCGCAGAAGTTCCTGCAGGAGGATAGTGACAGCAGGGACTGCACTGCAGGCCTTGGCCACAAGAGGGAGCAGCACTCACTCATGTCAGGCAATGCATTCCCAAAGGGAGTCTGGAGAAGGGGCTAATGGAGGCCCAAACTGAGGGCACCTACCTGGCTTTCCAGGAACATCTGCCCTGTTACAGTGGCAGCGATCCGTTCTTGCTGTTGTTTTTGAGCGTTCAGTGAATTCTGTTGTATTAGAAGATTGCTTTCCAGGGTTTCCAGCTCCTCCTATAAAATATTTCATTCACAGACAATCACATAATTATCCAGTTAAGTTTATTTCTTGCAAAAAAGCCTGCAATTAGTCTGGCTGAAATTAATCAATAAGCTTTTTTCTCCTTATGAAGTACTCTATTGGATTTCTAAGCAAAACTGTTAACAGCTTGAGAGCTCCTTCACTAAATCACACGGAAAATGAGTCTATCCCAAAGAGAAGTCTAGAGTAAAAAGAAGACATCGGCAGCAAAAAGATGCACAGCTAGCAAATATTCATGTAACACCTCCTTAAAACTCAGATGCTAGTGAGCTTCTTTAGCAGTAAGTTAAAACACAATGTCACATTATTACCAAATTAATATCTTCCCATTCGTTAGGCGAGCCATCCGCATCTTTCTCAGTTTCTTTGAGTTCCTGGATGTCCGAGTCCTCACTGTCCTGTAGGACGTGTTGGCTGTCACTAGTGGCAGCCTCAGCTCCTTTCTGTTCCTCCTCCCCTTGTTCAGAGGGAGGTTTGGAAGCTTCATGGAATTCAGCTTGAAGGTCATCATCACTAACTGCATTCCGAACTTCAATGAAACTCCCTGTATCAAAATGATGAAGTCATTTCATCTGCAACTGAAATGTTACAACCACCTGAAGTAATCAGGAGCTTTCTGAAGAATCCTGAAACACTGTGCCCCAATGGACTTGAATAGAAAATGTGTAAGTAATGTTCTATTAAACAAATTTAATCACAAATGCCTATAACTTCAAAATAGGTCTTTGCAGTTAGATAAACTGTCTATGAGTGTAAGAATCAAATGCTCGAAGACTTGCATAGTAGCTTTACACAAGTATGTTCTAAGGTAACCAATATTGTTTTAAAAATTCAAAATGGTGAGTTATCAAAGTATATTAACAATCATGGAAGGTGTGAAATATGTTTTATGTTACTTCACTATGAACACAACAAAGAATAAAGCTGAGAATCCTGGGATTTAGTTGGGAGAAGTAGCTCTTCCTCTCCCACTTTTCTTCCCTCTTCTCTTATTGCATTTCCTTTTCCTTAAAAAAAAATATTTATTGGTGCCCTTCATTTCTTTCAGTGGAGGGGGCTACCAAGGCTTGTCCAGCTGGATATGAGGACACAATCAAGACAGAGGAGGGGTTGGGATGGAGGAGAGCCAGTGGGATGAGAGATGGCTACAGATAAAGTACAGATACAGACAGGTAAATATATTGCAGATACTGGAAGTGAGTGTTTTTCAATGTTAGGGAAATTAAAAAGGGGAGGCTAGAATAAATCCTGAGATATTGGAATAGAACAGCAGAAATCACTGTGAACTCATGGATTTTAATAAGAGAGACACAAAAATACAGATGTGTGTGCACATGTGTATGTGTGTCTACATACATGTATTTCCTGGTTCTGTCACTGAAGGAAACAGGGACCCCAATCAACATCCAGCTTGTGGTTTCTAAACACCAGCTCCACTAAAAGAGCCAGGGCTCCTTGGTGAAATGCTGGTCCAGGTCCAGGGCAGAGAACAGAGATCAGCTTGGGACATCCTGGCCAGAAAATAAGGAAATCCTCAAACTATACTGCAGAATTGTCAAAAACTATGCGAGGCTCCTTGTAGGAGCCCTGCAGGTCAAAGCTGAGACAAGTCAAGCAATAAAGCAAATTATTACAGTGCTAGATTTTAACTCACTGAATAAAACAGGAATCCAGGAATCCACACTGATTAAAAAATGAGTAATAATAAAGGAGGGAAAAGGGAAATATCTTCCTTATAGGAGGATGCCCATGAATAAATGTGTAAGAAATGATGGACTTGGAAAACACCATTTGGCAACCTTCATAGAAGAAATTTACTCAGATAGAAACCATCAAAGGATGCGTAAGCAAGTGAGGGAAAGTTTGTTCAGGTGTAGTGTATTTTCACAGCCCTCAAATTCCTTTCTGTAAAATACTGATTACAAAAGGGAAATAGTAACTTCAGAATGTAGAAACCTGGCAGACACAGGACACAAACTGTGTGAGTATGTATGTATAGAGTCTATACTACTTATTTGAAGTTATTGTCTAGAGTCACTTCAAACCCTAACTTAGCAAATGCTAAATCAATGCTCCCAGAGGGAAAAAGCAATATATATCAGAACATATTCCATCTTAAATCCTAAAATAACAACCCATTTTGGCAGTGAAGTATTGAGAAGTGCATTTTGGCAGTGAAGTGTTAAGTGACTTGTTTAGGCTGCCCTAACAGGAGCTAGAACTGGAGTACAAATCCCAGGCTGAAGTTCCTTGCTCCACACTGCGACTGGCTTCTGTACCCACCCTGCTCATTTCTGCAAAAGACTGAAAGGCAGACCATCTCCTTGCTCAATCTCAGTAGGGGAAGGTGTTAGCAACTCAAATTTTCACCCTTCTACATTGACCCCTCCCACTCTGAAAATGTCCACAAATGCCCTCAAAGATATCACAATGCATATTGATTCAGGAGTTAAAAATAAATTTTAGCAACTAGGTAATTGCACAAATATAGAATCTAAAAATGAAGATAGGTAGTATATATGTGCATAGAGATATAGATATGTATAACAGACCCTGATAGAAAGCATGTGAGCAACAGACACAGAGATGGTAAAATAAATGTGGAAAAATGCTAGCCACTGAGGTCCTGGGTGAAGGACTCAGAGAGTTTTGTAATATACTTTCAGCTTTTTAAAGTTTGTAATTATTTCAAAATAAAAAGTTGAAATAGCAAAAGAGCTTTACTTTCTCCATCTAAGGCACTCCCTCCCTTTAAAGACAACAGTGACAGCACAGCAGAGAAGGAACCATTCTCCCTGCTTTGTTACCTGTAAAAGGTGGGAATAGGGCTATGACAGGGTCTCAGTTCCTACAGACGTGAGCATCTACCATTCCATTCTCTGAAAGAGCCCAGCACCTACCATCAGACTCACTGTCTTCAGAGTCCATTTCCAATGGTCCCAAGGACTTAGGAACTGAAATTAACTCCTGGCCTGCAGGTTCAGTTGTCTCCCATTCTTGGATAGTTTTCAAGGACTCACCATGCTCTTTAGCACTAGATGGTATCACATTTTCTAAGTCAGCTATTGCCTCTAAAGGGACAGTGCCAGTGACTTGAGAAGCAGGATTTTGTCCACCTTCTGTTTCGTCATCACTTGAAAGAAAAGAGGGATCATATTTACTCTCAGATTGGCCAAGATCTTTCTGCGGCTCAAACTCTTTGCTTTGAGTGTCCCTCCTTGACTCAGAACTAGTGCTTGGTGGAGGTGATGGTGTCGGTTCCCTTCTACTGGGGAGCCCAGGTACATCACTGTGTGGAACCTCTGTACGTTCTAAAGGATGTGAGCCTACCCTGTCTTTAAATGTAGATCCATCACTTGACTGCAATACTTGTTCTTTTGGAGTGCGAGAGTCAATTCCTTGATGAAAAATGGTACTCAGCACATGAGATGAGTCCGTTAGTTTTTGTTCACTATTAGTACTGGCAACATGTTCCTCTACAAAGTTCACACTGGCTGAAGGAGGGGCAATGGTCAATGGCACTCTTTCTCCATCTCTTCCTCTAAGTCCTGCAGCATGTTCCTCATTAAGACTGTTTCTGAGCAGTGCTTTCAACTCTGGTCCTCCTGAAGGCACATGGTCCCCAGCACACACTTTCACCTCATCGTCATCAAGAGCCCTCTGAATAGCGGAGAGGGTCCGGGGGGATATGGAGCCTTGCTCTGTGGTAGGAGACACATTCCTCTCACTGTGCTGACCCCCTTTTCCAATCTCCATCTCCTCTTCTGAGCCACTTCCCAGCATAGCAGCCTGCAGAGCTAGTAAAGTTCTTGGAGAAGGGGGTGTAGCCTCAGGCTCTTTTTCTGGCTTCAGTTTTCCACAGGGAGATGACTTCATGTCAAAAGACAACCTGTGCATTTTGCTGGAAGATGGAAGAGACTCTGAATCCATATCAGCATCTTTCTTAGCTTGAATACCTTAAGAAAATTAAAACATTCCTTACTACATGGCTTTACAGTGTGATGGTGTACTTCTAATAAGATGAACAGAGAATTCTGGTCCCCATAGTTATAAATTTTATTTAATCAGCAACTAAGAGTTAATTTATTGGTTAATTCTGAAGTGGGTTGCCACTGTAATAGTTCATCCATTAATAGCTATACATAATTTTGATTACCCAAGCAGGACTTCATTGATATTACCCGGGGGTATTACACCAAATTCAAAGCCACAACTTATCTTTGGTTTTTCACTACAAAATAAATGATAGTGCCTGATACCTTTTATCAAGATGTAGTGTGAAGTGTCTTCAGAGACCACTCTCCTTGACTCTACCTCCTTCAAAAACCCTCCTTCATCTTCATACTGCCTCTGGATTTGTCCTGAGTGTTGCTGGTTCATTTCCTTTTGGACATTTTCTATGTGTTGGTTTAGATAGTTTTTTTTAAGCAAGCCTTTGAGTTGGTACTGTGAAAAGTCATTGGATTCCTAAAGGCAAAATGAATAAAATTATTATTTTATATTTAATGCAGATAATATTATAGTATTACCATATGTCTAACCTTTTCCACAAAAGTAGACAAAGAATTGCCTTTTTTCATTGGTAGTAATGTTATATTATAAAAAATTTGAATATTAGGAAAACCTGTAACTGTCCTTTTAAAAGATAATCTTTAAAACAAAAAGAGTTAAGCAAAAAAAATCAGGAATGTTATATATTATTTAATCCATTTTTCAAAAAACATTTACTGAGCATGGAATAAATAGTAGTGATACTACATTTGATCATGGCTTAACACAAGGACAATCATCTAGAATGCAAGTAAATATGTAAGTAAAATACCTAGCACTGTACATGGCCCATAAGACATAAAATAAGCCAGGTGTGGTGGCACATGCACTCCTGTAATCCCAGGTATTTGGGAAGTGAAGACAGGGTTTCAGTTTGAGGTTAGCCCAGAGAAAGAGAATATGACTATATTAGTGGCTCTAAGGGGACTATGGAAGGCAGGAGAGAAAAAGAATGATAGAGTGAATAATACTGAAATGCAATGTATCTATGTGTGAAGATAGTATAATGTAGTGTACAGTAAACAGATGAGTAAGGGAGCAAGGTGATCAAGAAAGAGAAAGTAATAGAGGGGGTTAATCTGATTAATGATATATACATGTCTGAAATACTAAAGCAAAACTCCCTTGAACATTCAATATTCACTTTAAAAAATGAAGGAGAAGAAGGTAAAATAGGTCCCATCTGTGGTGGGAACCAGTGAGAGGCAGTAGCGTAAACAGAGAGGGTGAAGGAGGGTGAATATGGTGGATATATTTTGTATTTCTGTATGAAAACAGAACAAAGAAACTTGTTGAAATTATTTTAAGAAGGGAGAAGGGATAAAGAATGATGGAGAGAGATATTACAAGCACATATGTCACAATGTACCACCTCATAAAATTATTACACGCAAATTAAAAAAAAGCCCAGTATATTGTACATGTTTGTAACCCCAGCAAATCAGGAGGCAGAAGTAGGAGGATCACAGTTCAAGGCCAGCCCCAAGCAAAAGCAGGAGACCCTATCTAAAAAATAAACTAAAGAAAAAAAGGGCAAAAAGTATGGTCTTAGTGGTAGAGCCTACTAAGCACAAAGCCCCGGTTCAAAACCCTAGTTTAAAAAAAAAAAAAAAGACACAAGAAATCATGGCAGTCACTTTTATTAACAGTGAACATTTATAAAGCATCTCCCTAAAGAAAAGAGCAATCCTCCAAGCACTTTTCTATCAACCACCTTAATTATCCTCACAGCCATTTAATGAGATGTGCCATTATCCCCATTCTACAAATGAGGAAATTAAGACTCCAATCACACCAGGAACCTCTAGAGTCACAGAGCTAATAAACAGTAGATCTGAGGTCAAAAGAGACTGGTTTACTATAACTGATCCATTACTATCGTGATCATCGCCACAATACTACTTACCATCTAGTGGTACCAGTATCACATTCACACAACGCACAGGTAACACAAAGGTCTAATCGGAATGGCTCAGAACCTGTCTAGTCTATCAAATTACAGATGCAGTGAGCCACTATTCCAAACTACCCTCAGGACTATCAACCCTACAGACACTGTGGCTGCAGAAAGAGAATAAAGAAGAGAAAATCATAGAGATTATCTTTCTCTACTCCTTTCCACTATTACTTGCATAAGTCAAATTTTATTTCCTCCAGCACTACCCAGAGATCCTTCACATTCATGAAATAAAATGCCTGATAGATGGAATCTGGATTTTTTCCCTGAAATCAAAAAATAAATTTACTCTACATGCCCAAAGACCCAGAATATCATTTCTGTGAACCATACCATTTTCTTATCTTCACATTCTACATGAAAAAACAGAGGGGATTGATGGGAAAAGAAATACATCCTGCTTTTTTCATATTTTTATTCTCAATTTAAGAAGTACTAAAGGTCTAGAGAGTTTTAAAAACTCACGAGGGATAATACAGCAACTTTGCAAAATTTACATTCTGCCCAACAGCAAGTCGAAGAGAATCATGGTAGAAATAACAGATGAAGAGAAAGAAAAGGAAACATAACTTACTAGGGACTAAGGACAGGAGCTAATTAACGGTGGCATGCTCAGGAGACACGCTCATCTGTAACAGGAATTCCAAGTGAAGACATTTCCCATTGTGACTAGAGTCCACATCACAATTCAGTTTTTATATGCAATGTGTATTACAGTTTAAAATAACAGATCTGAGTCACCAAGCACATACTGGGCACTTACTAAGTAAAACACACTGAGCTACTTGCTGAAAATGCAGAGGTGAGCAAAGCATGTAAGTTTTGGTGCTGAGAAGTGATAAAGGGTCGTTAGAGTGTGCTGGAACAGAGCCGAAGAAAAGACCTCATCTTGAGTGCAAAATCAAATTTATAAGTAAATGATGTCTCATGGGATATGAAATGCACAAAAGCTGTACTGAAGACTGAGAAATCACAGGATTGCTTATCACTTTCCTCTTTCTTCCAGTGAAAAGTTTTGCTGAGTGCTTCATTCCACGCATGCATGTTCTACTACACATGGCTGGATAGCTCACCTCTGGCATTGCTTCAAACAATGTTCTTCTTCGCTTGGTAAATTCTTTCATATCAGTCAAGATTTCGTGCTTTATTTCCGGGGGCAGGCTGGTGAAGTCCTCAGATTCAATATCTATTGCATGAGGATTATGAAAGAATTCCTCCTATAAAAAGTAGAAAGTGACACAATAAAATCCACATTTTCTACACCGAGTTCTACTTCCTGTTGCAGACATTTATTGTATTTACATCATAAATACAGTTCTACATAATCCACAAAAAGTTAAGCACGGTGTCTATAATCTGTAATAGGCATCAGTGTGAAGTAGATTCCTTATGATTATATTCAGTCATTGTTCCATTCGCTCGAAATAAAAACACTTACCAGGTACCTCCAAGACATCAGGCCCCGTTCTAAGATGCTAGGGTACCATGACAATCATGTTAGCTAAGATCCTTACTGTTAAGACTGAAGGAAGGCATATAATAAACAGGCAAATAAATAAATAAACAAGATAACAGTAAGAAAATCAACCAGGTTAATTTGACAAACAGAGTGATTAGGAGAACAGGAAAAGAAAAAAGAATTGTTTGATAAATAGAAAAGACCCTACTACAAAGAGGACCTGTGTTCAGGGACTTGAAAGACACCAAAGAACCCGACTGGAGACAAGAGTAAGCTAGGCTGAAGGAACACCAATTTCAGAGGCCCTGAGGTAAGAGTGAGCATCAGTAAGGTGACCAATGTTTCTAACTCCCTTAATTAGATTAGTTTTATTTTGTTTTACAAAAAAAAAAAGAAAACAAAACAAAACCTTAAACAAGTTAATTTGTCTACAATCACAGAGCTAGTGAACAGTGGAAGCTGGACTGAAATACAGGTCTCTCTGACCCTGAGGTCCAAGGTTTTAACCAAGATTGCTATCACTTTCTGCATTAATGTAGAGCCCCAGGAGCTGAAGGATTTAGGGTTTTACCTTAAAAGTCTTCTACCATATATAGCAGAATATGAAGAAACAAGAAATAATGACCTTAGGAATTGGGAATCAAAGAATGTTATCTGCTATACTAAAACTTGAGAAAAATGTTCATTTCATTGTAAAATACAATTATTCATTAAAATCTGTGTGATGGTTTAAAAGCATTCCACAGATTCTTTGACATTCTCCTTGTCTAATACTTCTCTCCTTTAAATAGACACTGGCCTTAGGAACTGGTTTCCAAGCAATACAATGTGGGAAAGAATACTGTGCAACTTCCAAAGCACAGTTAGAAAGGCAACACTATTCCTTTCTGGAATGTCCTTCAGGATGCTGCCCTTGGAAAACAGCTGCAATGCTGGGAAAAAGCCCAGGCCACATGGAGGCCACGTGCAGGTGCTATGCAGGCCAGCCACACTGAAGTCTACCTGACAACCAGTGTCAACCACCAGGCAAGGGAGTGAAGAAGCCAAGGAAGCAACTCCAGCCCAGCTACAGTCTGACTGCATCTACACAGGAGACTCCAAGAGAGGGCTGATCAAAACCCAGAACCATAGCAGAGGATGATAAAAAAGATGAACAGCTTTACACTACTAAGTCACACAGCAATAGATAACTACGACATATGCACAGACATATATATGTACAAATATATATACACATGTACATTTGGTATTCATACACATACTCAAATACATACACACACAGGTATTCAACAAAATGGAGGGGCTGTGTGATCTAAAATACATCAAAATGTTACTAAAATGCATTTATAGAGAGTGTGTTTTCTATATTCTACACAAACATATACTAGTATTTATTTATTGGTCAGCCAGATTGTTGGTTGTAAAAGAAAATGGTTTATTTTGCTTATGCAGATATACACGGTGGTAAATTCCACATATGTGTATGAATGAGTATGTATTTTATAAATATGCATACCCATATATGTGCACACATTCTGATACACACATAATACAAAGGGCATTGGTCTTTTCTTTTTATCAGGAACTTTCATAAATTCACAACCTCATTAGTTATTATTCATTTTTATACAATTCATTCCAAATACAAAACAATCTGGATTCCAAAATTTATTTAAATACCTGTAATGCTTGTTTTTGATCCATTCTTTCTTGCCATTGTTTTTCATCTTCCTCTTCTGAACTGAAAGTCAAGCACAAATTTATAATACCTATGATTTTTAATAACTATTTACAAAAATATTTCTGAATACACAGTGCTACTAATTCTAGTGGCTACAACAGTGAATAAAACAGGAAGACTTGTGCCACCATGGTCTCACTATCTGGTGGGAGACACATGTACGTAAGAAATTACAGAATGACCTCATGACTTCCACCACAGGGAAGAGCAGGTTGAGAAAGGTGGAACAGAGAAAGTCACCTCACTCCACTCTGGGAAATCATGAAAGCTTTCTGGGATCTGCTACAATTACACTGGTTAGAGTGAGTCACGAATAAGAAAGGGGTCTAACTGTAGCGGGTAAGAGAGGTTCATGGAGAAAAGTGTTTCAGGTGGAAAACTAAGTTCTATAACCATCTGGAAATAAGACAGAAAAGAAAACCTGCCTGTTGTGGTGTGAAGAGACCAAGGGATGAAGTTTGAGAAAAGTGATTTAAGAAGTTGAAGTTTTATCCTACAAATGATAAGCTAGGCATGGTATAATGGAACACATCCATAATCCCTATGCTCAGGAGGCAGAGGCAGAAGGATGACTTAAGAGGCCACCACAACTATATAGCTAGTTCCAGGTGAGACCCTGTCTAAAAACAGTGTGGGGGCGGGGATTGAGGAAAGAAGGAAGGGGAGACAAAAAAAAACAAGAAATGATGAGCAAGGGAGTTTTGTAAGAAAAGGACAGTATCAGTATTGGGCTTTAAATAGACATAGATTCTATGATACAAAACTGAGACTGGACTTGGCAGGGGTCAGGGTAAGAGTAAAATGAAGGACAAGAAACAAAGAAGTTTGGGCACTATCCCAGTATCTGAGCAAAGATGGTGGTGGTGACAATGGAGAGAAAGAAAACTGGGCTGACGCAAAGCTACTTTGTCTCCTGGAAGCCCCTGAGAAGGTACTGGTGAGGCTTGGAATGAGGACAAACTGGCAAGACTTATGGTCCTCCATCTACACTTCAATCACTACTGATAACTAACAGCACCCAGAGAAGAATATTCGATAGAGGAACTGAGAAGGAGTGCAAGAGGTGCCAAGAAAACAGGTCAGCATGACAGGGTGTTACACAGGGCAGAGAAGTCGGGCACACTGAGAAGCACAAAATGTCCACATTAGCAACAAGGGTGTCATATATGCTATTTTAGCCTGGTGGCAACAGAGTCAGTCTCCAGCTAAGAAGCAGGTAGGGACACAGCATGTATAAGCAAGGTATAAGAAAAGCTAAAAGTTATGTCTTCCTAAATTTTAAATTCACAATGCCAGTACAGGTTCTTTAATATAAAAGAACAATGAATCACAAAATATCAAAACACAAAAAAAGTTACAAAATAAAAAATTTTGTCTTTGAAAACCATTCCAATGAGTATGGAGAATGGGTATTTCAGAGGCGTTAATAAATTCCTCTGTGTCTTATCATGTAGATAAAACACAGAGGTTTAAATCTGTCTGAATATGTCAATGATTAAACCAGTATTCCTAAGCAGTTAAATATTTACCTATGTTTTTCTTCCTCTTGTAAAGGTGGCAGAACATAAATGTCATCTTCCCTTTGAACTTGTGTTAGGCTGGGGAGTGCTTCATTTCTGAAAAGCACACATAACTTTAAACAAAGATTATATGAAACAGCATTTAAGTCAACATCCTCCCCCATTGGTTATACAAACACTGCCCAAGGACAATGGCTCTCTCTAGGCCATTATTGTGGAAGCCAAGTATAGTCTGGAGGAAAAGGGACATGGTATGGGTCCCCAGAGCCTTTGCCACAACATCAACTACAGTCATAAAGATGAGCAGAGGCCAGGTTCGGTGACTCATACCTGCTGTAATCCCAGCTACACAGGAGGCATAGGAGGGAGGATCACAGCCAGAGGTCAGCCTGGGCAAAAAGTGCAAGACCCTGTCTGACAATAACTAAAGCTAAAAGGGCTAGAGGCATGGGTCAAGAGGCAGAGTGCCTGCCTAGCAAGCAAAGGCCCTCAATTCCGACCCCAGTATGCAAGGGTTAGGGGACCATTAGAAAAGTAAAAAGTCAAGCTGGGGTTGTAACTCAGTGGCTCAGGCCTTGCCTAGCATGTGTGAGGCCCTGGGATTGATCTCCAGCACCAGTGACATACTAAGAAATAAGCAAATAAGCTAATGAAAAGTGTAAGCAATGTGACACTGCAGCTTTGCTTTCTCATTAGCAAAGTGATTCTCACAGGATAGGGTTGTTTTCTCAATTTCAAATTATCAAGTCCAGTGACATCCCACTCACGCCTCTCATTTCACTCTTTATTTTCTGTTGAGAGTCAAAAATAGATAAAGAGAACTACAGGAACTCAACACAAAAATGGTATGTTTTTAAATTAATCTATCATCTTGCCTTTTAGATTTGAAGGCAGTTTTGATAGCCTGTCTCTTCAAGAATGTCTTCAAAAGCTTCTCCGTAGTCTTCCTGGAGTCACCAGATGCCAAATCCTTCCTCTGCCTTCTCTTTGCCTATGAAGAGGAAGGACACAAGATTTCACTTCAGTGTGTTAGTCCGTTAAAAACATTTCTGTAATTTTTCCATGAAATTTAGCTTGTCTGAATTTGTAGACTGATGTTTTACTGTTTCCTCTTGACTGTTCTATCAATAAATATCTTCAAGTTCTGCTATGTAAAGGATACGCAGATATTCTACCTGTTATTTATACAATATATTTGAGAAACTACAACTTACTTTCTGTTTCTTTTAAATGTCTGTAACACCTCCAGGAAGCCTAAACTATGATATATAATTAAGTAAATGCTTCCTCAAATGGTTATGTTGATTTATTCTTTAAAACATAACTGTTATTCCAAAAACAACTTCTAATACTGATTTTTTATAAAAATGTATTACTTGTATGTAACTCTGCCCCTCAGTAATCAAGATTATGTCAGAAGAAATCCTAAAATGTCAGGAATATCCTGTAAGAAATGTTCAACAGTCTTTGCATATGGTTGAATATAAAGCAGAAATAACCAAGATTTTCTCTTTTCTGTTCCAATCTTTCCAAAAAGTACCTGAGAGAGAATATGCCTAGGATCATGGAAAACTAAAAGCTACCTTCAAGGCAGCAAAGGTCCACAGAAGTTTATGAATACTTACTTTCACCTATGGCTACCTGAGTTAGACAGTATCTGTCTGGTATGATTATGAAATGAAAGGCTAGCATGCTTAATAATATAAAAGTCATGTACTTAAATGGACGCTATCATTTGGACTGCTTGAACATTTTTTTTAAATTACCTTCAGAACAATAAGAACAGTCATTCTCATTCTTCAATGTCATGCCCAACTTCCTTCCTGGCCAACCCACTTCAGCCACCACTAGGTACCACCCAACACTGCTTACTCCTGAAACCCAATTTTCCTATAACTGAGAATACTCAATCTCACATACAGAGAGGCATTACTTGCATAGATTTTCCATAACGCTCTGAGCAATGGAAGCACAGTTGGAATAAATGTGAACACCTAAACAGATGCTCTACAGAGAAAACTCTCAATTCTAGGAATTCTCATAGTTTTGGTTAAAAGCTATCATTACATCTGTGATATACTCTAATAAATAAACCATTTTTAAAAGAAAAAAACTGCTTATTTGTTAAAGATGATTTTTTAAAGCAGTTGAAACTAAATTGGTTAAATGTCAAAAACAAGTCTTGGTTTCTAAAATTCTAAAGAGAAAATAAAACTAGATGTTACTTACCAAAGTCTGTTTCTTCAACAGCGGAGCATCCCCATCAAATACAAAAATGGGACGAATTCGAAAAAATAAGAGTTTGCAGAGCCGATGAAACAAAGTGAGAAGGTGAGCATTTTCTACTGAGTTCCCATGACGATCCCGGACGCCTTTAAGTGCTTGGTTCAACCAAATGCTAATATCTGAGAAGACTGGTAAAGGAAAACATTTTGGAATTTCTTCCTCATCCTCACAATTTCAGTTTCTTAATAACTAATATCACCAGACACTGGACTAAGCACCCATCACCATTCATTTGAAGTTGAAAAATACCTGGCCCTGATGGAATCTACCTAGCCAGTTAACTTTATTTCAGCCCTTGCTACTCCTTTTCATATAGTGAATTTTGAAATCCTTCTACAATGTCCAATGGCAAAGAACTGCTTCTAAGGAAAAAAAAAAAAACTAGTAAGCACTAAAGAATTGTAGTCAACTGGCACAAATTTTCTGGAGTGCTATTTGGCAATTCATAGTAAAACACCCAAAATTTGTAGTGTATTTTACTAAGAATTCCATTTCCAAGCATGCATCCCCAAAGAATCATCAGGAACTTACAATGAGAGTTATTTACAAGATGCTTAAAAATAACAGTGAAAATATGAAAAAGAATTCAAGAGCTTTACAACGGGTCTTTTAAAAATTAAATAAAAAAACTAAACTACGATACACTTATTTGCTAAATATAGAGTTCTTAAAAGCAGAAGGTGCAAAAGCATGGCTAGTGATAAGAAAGGCAGTCACAAAAATAGTACTAAAGAAAATGTAACAGGTTCTAGAAACATACAAAGTATAATTGTATTTGTAATAAATGCAATATTTTAAACATATAAATCTAGGTCAGATGCCAAAACATACAGTTAAGTAACATTTTCTTCTTGGAGTTTTACATTTTTTAACTTTTCCTTAAAATCCTTTTTAAAAATGTATTTTGCGTTTGTCCATAGGAGTGACCCACTGCCCTGCTGGATTTCCAGTTCAGTCTTTTTGCCAGCACCTTCTCAGTGTTTTTCAATGACTTTTGTGGACCCTCTTTTCCCTCCTGTCTATACCACTACCAAAGTTGAGGCTACCCCAAACCCACATCACACCCTGTCCATGTGTATGTCTGGCCCAGAGCGCTCCTAAATAGGAGAGCCTGACTGACATCTCTACCTAGCTCCTCAGACATTCTAACCTGAGCATGATCAAAACGGAACCCCATGTTTTCTGCACAAGGCTGTCACCCCACCTCCATGCATACCACACCCCTTCCCCTGAGCCAGAATTCTGAGTGCCATTCCAAATACCCCTCATCCAACCAGTACCAGACCCTACTAATCCCACCTTCCAACTTATCTTAAAAAGCCCATTTAGATTTCACCCATACCTCTTTGAAATTTCCCATTGCCGTTAGGATAATATCTAAAGCTCCTCCCATGACTTGCAACCCTCCTGAATTGCATGGCTCCTGCTCATTCCTCCAACATTTTAAGCCACTAGGCTTTTCTCAAGCCCTGGAAAACACTAAGCAACCTCCCGCCTCCAGGATCTTCTCCCATCATGCTCCTTCTCCATCTGAAAGTCCCCTCCCCCCAAACCGTCTCTACTCTTGAGTTCTGTAGTCACCTCCCCAGTCTACATTAAGACCTCCAATTACACATCTCTTTACTATGTAGCAGAAATGTTTCTATGCACTGGGGATATAACCCTGAACAAAAAAAGTATTTGCCCTCATGAAGCTTACAGTCTAGTTAGTGGAATACCAAGCCTGTAAGCTCCGTGGCTCATCTAAAACCACATTTTTGTGTACCACACTCCCTTTCACAGAGCCTATCATATAGCAGACAGTAAATATCCATTAAAGGAGGCAGTTTTTAAAATAAATGTACACCACTTAAGGCTAAAAAACTTAGGCTCATCAACAATTGGCTATTTAAGAAACAACTAGTGAAAGCACACCATTTACATTTATTCTCATAATACAATACCATGAGCCAAGGGAGACCCAGAGATGATTACCTCACATTGAGCAGTAGTACCATTGTGAACAAAATGGATATGGTCCCTGTCTCTAAGAAGCTTGCATTCTAATGGGGAAAAGAGAAAATAAAAAATAAAGTAATAGTTATATAACATGTCAGATGGTTGCTAAGTGCTAAGGAAAAACAGAGCAGAATGAAAGGATAAAAGAGAGACTAGAAACTGGGTATGGTGGTACTCACTTGTAATCTCAGCTACTTGGGAGGTAGAAGCAGGAGGTTCCTGAGCTCCAGGTCAGCCCAAAGTTACTGAGACCCTATCTCAAAAACAAAATTTAAAAGGTGGAGGGGGATTAGCCTGGGGACATGGCTTAAGTGGTAAGGCATTTTGCCTAGCATTCACAAGGCCCTGGATTGAATTCCTAGTACTGAAAAAAAAAAAAAAATTGGGAGCACCAGAACTCTTTACTTAGATAGTAAGACTTATCTGAAGAAGTCAAGAGGGGCAGGAGTAACCTGAATAGCAAAGCAGCAGCAAATGTGAGTGTTCTGGGATAGAAGCCTCTTATACTTAAGGCTGTATGGCAGAAGAGAATGGTAGGAGTGAGTGAGTGAATGTGTGTGTAAAATCACATGTTTTCATTTTTTCAAAAAACTGTTAGGAAAGCAGTTTTAAACTAGCTACAACAGCCCACAGGAGCGAAGGGCTGTGGTTCAGAACGTGAGAAGAGTTCAGGTCCAAGTCCACTCTGGAGGTTGGATTCAGTGCTAACTTTACATCTTCATCACATTGGAATTGCTTGCTGCGCTATGTATGGGAGTCAAAGAAGTTTCAACACAGCCTGTTATTTTCAGCTTTATAATTGCAAAAATCTAATTTCACATCAGTGGTTCTTAACCCTACAATATATTAAAACAGGATATGAACCTCTTAAAACATACAGACTACTAAACCTGTATGCCCAAAATAGTACATCATGAAAGTGAGGTGGGTGTTCTTTTGTTTTTTAATTAATCACAGGAGCAACAGCTAGGATTGAGCATTCCAGCTTGAAATTCTTAGAAAATACTTAAGTCAGACGTTTGCATAATTTGGCTTTTCTCATTTCAGTAAGTTTATATAAGCCCAAATTAAATTTATCTAAGGTTAAAATCTGCAGCAAAACCACAAATCACCTAAAACCCAAAGAACCAATAACATTTTGAAACAAAAAAATTAATTTTTTAGTTCTATAGTTAGATGACTTAAAATTTAACCTCCATTTGAACTCACAGCATACAGTGTATCTTCCTAATACAAGTGAGTGAATTTTACAAAGGTCCATAAGAGACAAAAGATAAATTGCTATTTTTTTTTTATTACTTGACAGACATTTGAACTATATAAACAAGATACTTGTCTGGGTAGAAGGTTCAAAGACCACTTTTATTTTAGAGATTCAGGAGTAAATTATGAACCCAGTATAACCATGCATATATGAAGTGAGACAATACAAATGAAACAATAATATCTAACTTTCAGATGCCTGAATTCCCATGAAAATCAAAGAAAAATCAAGTATACAGTAATCAATTATTACATATGAGTTTTATGATAACTGTCTTCTCTTTAGATAAATGATCCAATCTCTCAGAAAAGCCAAAAAATGACTTCACATTTCAAATGGGCCTCTCTGAGCCACCTACAAATAAATCTAAATTACATGGTTCATAATTCCTTACTCTGACTTACTAAAAATTTAAGATGCTGAACTGTATGTATCATTCAGAAGTTTTACAAATTCTTAATTCTTTGTAAGGGCCGTAACTTAGGCCTAATACTTTGCTTAAGAGTTTTTTCCCCCTTTTTCTTTTCTTGGGACAGAGTTTCATTATACAGCCAACGCTGACCTAGAACAGGAGATCCTCCTGCCTCAGGCTTACCCCCTCCTGCTCCCCATCTCACCCCTACCCCTCGGTATTTCAGGCATGCTATACTTGCCTTCCTGAAGAATCAGTACTTTTTCCTCAGTGCTGGAAAAAAACACAGAACCTCAAACATGCTAGGCAAGCACTCTACGATTGAGCTACATCCCCAACCCCTTTGCTCAAGTGTTAGGGTTCCTGTCACTAATGGCTGAAAATTATAAATCTTCACAATGCAATGATATCTAGAAACCACTAGAGGGCAACACAGCACACGTGCTTTAAAAATCTTTTCACTTTCCCCAACTCAGGGTACCCAACACAAAAACTTTTAAAGCCAAACATTCATTACAGATGTATGTGAAGATTATTCCCGTGCCAGGAAATAATGATGATATTATTATGTTTTTTAAATTACTAGTGTTCCGTTATTTATAAGTTGTGTATATACTGAGGAATTGGCTCCTCCATCACGGCCTTCTTTGCTCCCACCTACTCTTGCCCTGCCTTCCTCCACTGAGGTGCAGAGCAATCATTTATATGACTTTCCGGTGTCCGCTTAGGAAACCTGTGTATCAGCAGAAGAACAGTCAAGAAAGACGTTACCTACTAAAAAAAAAAAAAAAAGTCAAACACCTATCCATATTACATATGGTCCTTCTTTTTCAGAAACATTGTTTACGGAGCAAGACTCAGGTCGGAATTCTACTTTGATTCCTGCCTGCTGACTTCCCAACCCCGGACGACAATTTTAAGATTTACAGAACTGACAGCGCCGACACCAACTGTGTGTGTGTACCATCAGCACCTGCACGCTGCAGGGCAGCCTACTAAATTATGGAGGAGCGCAAAGCATCGCCCTGCGTGGTAAAGACAGGACTCCAGTCCCCAACAGCAGGACTGCAAAGCTGGGGGAACGCGCGCACCCGGGAAGCAAGGCCGGCCTGCCGAAACCGCTCGGCTCCTTGTCAGTCAGCCACGCTCACCCCACAGACCCCCGAGGAGGCGTCAAGGATACCCACAGCCAGGATCTTCCCTTCCAGCGTCTCGGGGCTGACCTGCCGGCCGGAGCCCTCCAGCAGCTTCCAGAGCCCCTGGACCCCCATGGGGCAGGTGCGTCCTCCGAGCCGACCCGGAGCCTCTTACTCTAATTCTCCTACAAGGGGCTGCACCACCCAGGAAACGGGGAAAACGGTTCCGAGCCCAAGGTCTTCCTGAGGGAACTGGCCTCAACTAGGCAGCGAGGAAAGAGAAACCCCACACCAGAGAACTTCCCGGCGCGGACACCGCCTCTCGGAAGACAGCTGGACCGGAGATCAGCCGGCGGAGGGGAGGAACAGGGCCTCGTGCTGCCCAGGGCTTTGGCCAAGATGTTTGCACTTCTAATGTAAGACCGCAGGGAACCCGCAGCCAAGGCGAGACACATCGCAGATCTCCCCCTATCCTGACAGCGTCCTTCCTCCCACAACCCCGTAATCGCACAAGAAATGGGGCCTGGAGGCTTCGGTCTAAGAGCTACGCAAGGCGGAAGTCCTGGCGCCCGCGCTGACGTATATGTGCTGCGCCCGCGCTGACGTATATGTGCTGAGCCCGCAGCGCTCCGGAAGTGAGTGGGCGGGGCCGCCGCGGTGGTTGAGTCTCCTCAGCCCGGGCTTCTTTTTGGCATCCTAGCGCCTTTGAACGTTAAGCCGATTTCTGAAGGGCGTTCTTGCTGCGGCGAAGACTTCTTTGCTTTTTCAGTATTAGTCTCTCCCCATTGTCACCAGTTGAATAGTCTTCATATTGTGTTACACGCGAAAGAGACAACAGGTGGATGTTTTCTTGGTGTTTTTCAATGGACTGTTTCTACGATAGCATGTACTATTGAGATAGTAATACAGCCCAAAGCTTTACTCCTGAAATAGTTTTCTCCAGCGTTTAAAACCTAGAATTCCACAGTTTGTAATCAGAAATGAGAAGAAATAAATTGCTACAGTAAACACCATGGCTCTGGAACCCTCAAGTCAAAATTCAAATCCCAACCATGCTGCATGGTGGTTAGCACTGCTGAAATCACATTTCAGAATCTCTGTGACATTATCTGTAAACACAGGTTTACAAGCCTGAAACTAGATGCAATGAAAAGACTGGTTAAAGGAGCAGGTAGCCAGAAATGGTGGCACACAGCTGTAATCAGAGTACTTGGGAGGCTGAAGCAGGAGGATCTCACATTCAAGGCCCGGCTGGGCTATACAGTAAGACCCTATCTCAAATAAAAACAGGATCAGGGGATTTTTTTTTTTAAAGGAATCCTTTCCCCTATGTGTAATGTAATTCCCAAAAATGTTCATAGTTGTATATTACTGTGCTTGCCTATTTAATTTTGACTCCTTCCTATAGTAGTGGGAAATACAAACTTACTATAAACAAAGTACAATCTTGTTGACTATTATATCCCGCACTTCTGACACATAACAGAAGTTCATAAATGCTGCCTGAGTGACTTCTCAAGCCTCCAGTTTGAAGTTCTCCAAGTGCACCTTATACCATGGGAAAAGAATTTGCATAGACACCAAACAGACCATCAATTTTTATCTCATCTGAGCCATATAATAACATGTTATGAATTGTGTCCTCCAAAATTCTTGTGTTGAAGCCCTAACCACCAGTACCTCAGAATGTGACTATATTTGAAGATGGAACCTTTAAAACATCATGACATTAAAATAAGGTCGTTGGGACCCTTGGGTAGAGGAACCAGTTTTTAATAAAACCATTTCTATATTCAAACAGGTGGGTCATGGTAGCATCTTTAGTGATAGGGCACTTTCCTGGCAGGTATGAGGCCCTGGGTTCAATTCCCAACACATACACACACACACACACACACACAAATGAAGCTGTTAGGGGAGTTTTAATTCAATATGACTGGCAACCTTATCAGAGCAAGAAATTTGGACAAAGAGACTCCAGGGAAGCACACACACACACACACACAGGAGAAAGGCCATATGAGGACACAATGAGAAGGTGTCATCTGCAAGTCTAATAGAACCCTGAAAGAAACCAAACCTACAATACCTTGTCTTGGATTTGTAACCTTCAGAATTGTGAGAAAAGAAATTTCCATTTTACAGCTACCCAGTATGTGGCACTTTACTATGGAAGCTATAGCAAACTAAGACTAGGCAAATTTCTTCACCAATGAGAGCCTCAGTTCCTGCCAGCAAAACTGGAGCACTAGAAACTTCTCAGGGTTGTTCTGAGATCAGAGTTTTAACATGTAACACCTTGGCAATGGTGCTCAGATTCAGGTTTTATGAATGAATGACTGATGAAGTGGAGATGTTATGATAGATCCTAGATCAGTTGCCTGAGTCTCTCCAGTGTCTGGAACAAGGCAATGGGGAAGAATTACAGCTGCTGCACCATCTTGGCCTAATGATAGCATATAGGTCTGTAAGAGTGAAAACTGAATAGTTATATGACTCAATCTAAATGCCAGTTTTGTTTCTACCTGGGAGTTGAGTAAAAACAAATAGCCAGCATGGGCATAAGAGCACCATAAGTACTTTTAAAACTGGGACAACATTTCTTGATTATAAATGCTTTGGAAGGAATAGCAACTAAGGAGTGTATATTTGATTTATAAGGAATTATCTCCTTTCAATATTGTTTAAAGAGCTCTCTATAAAGAATCTAAACAAGCCAGATGGGATGGAACAAGCCTATAATCCTATCTGTTTGGGTGGATTATGGTTCAAGACCAGCCTGGACAAAAAGTTTGCAAGATCCCATCTCAACCAATTGCTAGGCACTGTGGGGAGGCCTGTCATCCCCAGCTACACAAAGAAGCACAAATAAATTATTTCACCCAACAACAGCACAATATACATTCATCTCAGCAGCCCAGGAATCTTCTCCAAAAGAGATCATATCTTAAGGCATAAAGCAAGCCTCAGAAAATATTTTAAAAAATAGAAAAAATCCCCTGCATTCTATCTGATCACAATGCTTTAAAACTAGAACTCAACAACAAAAACAACAGCAAAAAATACACAAATAATTGGAGGTTATAGAAGAAATAAGAGAGGAAATCAAAAGTTTCCTGGAAGGTAATGAAAATGAAAACACCACCTACCAGAACATATGGGACATAGTAAAGGCAGTCCTAAGAGGAAAGTTTACAACCATGAGTGCATATATTAAAATGACAGAGAGATCTCAAATAATGCTACATCTCAAGCTCCTAGAAAAACAAGAACAAGTAAATCCAAAATAAGCAGAAGAGAAATAATATAAATAAGGGCCAAAATGAAATAGCAACCAAAAAAAAAAAACATACAAAGAACCAACAAAAAAAGAGCTGGTTCTTTGAAAAAATAAACAAGATGGACAAGCCCCTGGTAAATCTGACTAAAACAAGGAGAAAAGACCCAAATTAGTAAAATCAGAAACAAAAAAGGAGATGTAACAACACTAAGGAAATCCAGGGAATCATCAGAGACTACTTTGAGAAACTATATTCCAAAAAGTTGGAAAATCTTGAAGAAATGGACAAATTTCTAGATACTTATGACCATCCAAAACTGAACCAAATATTAAGAGGACAAAATCTTAAGAGCATATTAACTACCTAAAAAAGATCTATAACACATAATGAAATTGAAGCAGCAATAATGAGTCTCCCAAAAAAGAAAGGTCTAGGACTTGACAGATTCTCAGCTGAATTCTACCAGACCTTCAAAGAAGAGCAAATGCAAACACTCCTTAAACTTTTTCCACAAAATAGAAAGGGAAGGAACACTGCCTAACTCATTCTTTGAAGCCAGCATAACACTTATCCCAAAACTGGACAAGGACACATGCAAAAAAGGAGAACGTCATCTTAAGTGAAGTTAGCCAGGCTCAGAAGGTCAAAAATGGCATGTTTTCCCTCATATGTGGATTATATATTTAAAACAAATGCACTAAGGGGAGAACGCTCACAGGAGGAATAGGGAAAGAGAAGGAAACCTAAAACTTGAATGTGGTTGGTGTGCTCACTGTAGAGGAGTGAATATAGTAATTGTAAACTGGCAGAGACCACTATGGGAAGGGAACCAGGAAGTAGTGAAGAGGTCTGGCAGAGATGAACCAATGTGGGTTGTAATACACAAGTGCATGGAAGCAATACTAGGAATCTCTCTGTATAGCTGTTTTTATCTCAAACTAGCAAAACTACTATGTATTTCTTATGATCTCTTATGTTTTCAACAAAAACGGAGAAGAGGGCAGAACTTGTTCAGAAATGGGGGAGGGGGGATCTGGGGCAGTTGGAGGAGTGGGGAGGGGGCCTCAACAATGTATACACATGTAAGTAAATGTAAAAATGATAAAATAAAAGAAAAACAGAAGCACAAATAAGAGGATCACAGTCCAGGCCAGCCTGATCATAAATCAACACTCTATCTCAAAAATACCTAATATAAAAGGGGGGGGGGAATAAAAAATAAAAGGAGGGAGCCTGAAGGTGTGGCTCAAGTGGTAGAGTACCTTCCTAGCAAGTGCAAGGTCCTGAGTCGAACCCCAGTACCACCCAAAAAAAACAAAACAAAACCCCCCCCAAAAAAAACTCAACAGTAAAATATACTTCTTTTGGAATAATAACAGCAATCACTTAAGTAGCACTTCTTGTCTACAAGGCACTGTTTAAACATTACATATATTAGTTTATTCATTCTTCTGCACCATTTCCTCATTTTTCCAATTAGGAAATATGCACAGAAAAATTAATCTTAACTTGCCCCAGTGTGATATAGCTAGTAAGCACAGAGAAAGTATTTCAACCTTCACTGCATCTATATAGACTCCTAAGAAGAGCTGACCAAGAATTCAAACAGGACAGCAGTGTTACTAGTTGTCAAGGAGAGGGGTGTAGTAGCTCCTGCCCATAGTTTCTGGAAAAACATTCCCACAAAACCCAACCTCATTGTACTCTGAATAACTGCCATACTTTGTAAGTCAAGGTTTTAAGCGAACACACATGTCAAGACTTTTATAAAGTGATGAGTAATCCGTCCATATAAACTCTATTCTTTAATTTTGTATTTTATGTTGCATTTTTCCTTTCCTGTTGGCTCCTTATATCGACATCATCTGTGAAATATTCAGTTGAACTACATTGAATAGCTTGTATTTAACAACCATGCATGACCTACAAAAATTCATTTGGTTCAAGCCAATGTAAAAATGAAATTTTTTGACACACAAAGAATCAAATTTTCCATTTCCTATTATAAAGTCTTAAGGACATCTAAAATTATACTCATTGTAATTTATATTTTTCATTGATTATAAATGTAAGATTCAAGATGGTTTCTTGTTAGGCAGAATCAAACAAATTATCATGTACTTCAGTTATAAGGGTAAACCCTAATGATAACAAAGGTTCAATAACATTCACATGATTAAAAGTAGAAAACGAAAGTTTATTTGATGAAAACGTTTTAAAAGTTCCAGTATGAAGTAACAAAATCAACAACCTACAAATCTCATTCAGTCCTTTACACATCAAGCAAAATATTCTCTTCAGAAAAATGACCATTTCATAATATATATCCCTTTCTGTAGGCTAGTCATGTATGAGTGGGTAAATGGGTATAAAATTCAAGAGAAAAAATGAAAATATTTCAAAAATAAAAATCTGAACCCTCTCCTTGAGGTGTATTGCAATATACCTTACCAACATATTCAGCACCTTGTAATCACCAAGTTACTGATTTAAATCCTGGAACAAGCCCCTGAAATGAAAGAACAAGAGATCCAAGAAGTTTGTGACTCACAGGTTGGCAGAAGAAAAACTGACAGCTGCTAGAGAGGAGCTCAAATATATGAAATCCACACTTGTAAAATACATAACACTCACTTCAAACAGCTAATTATCTATATGGTTCAAAAAGGAAACAGTTCAGAGTTTGGAAGAGATGTTGTCCTCAGAGTGATCTGGACATTCCTAAGTGTCTCAACACTCTTATTAACATAGGATACCAGGTAGGGACCAATCAAATGCCAGAAAACCTCTTCGTACAGATTACATTGGGTACAGAAAGTTCAGATGTCACTTGTTCTTTTACTGTATTCCTAAAACAAGGTTTATTCTAGACACACAAGTGTCTTTCAAGACTTAAGGTTCTTGTTGATATTTCACAGTTACATACCAAGTCAAGAATATCTGAATCAATGCAGCAAGTCATCCATATGCACCAATAGAAAAGATCAGTTTCTGGAATCTTTTCTTTTTTGCCTCTTTATTGAGACTCCTGAGACAGTTATTCAGGAAACAAAGGAGACAAACAAGATACTGCAATAAGTGAAAGAACTACTAGACTCAAAATAATTTTAAATGCGCTTTAACCATGAGCAAAAACTAGAAAATTGATACCCCCGTTTTTTTAAGGGCAGATGGTGCCTTATCTTTTGATTTTAGGAATAAAACTATCTGTCACAAATGCCTAAGAATAAAGTCATAAGAAATCACTTCATGCTTAAGTATTTTAAATCTTGATGCTTTAAATGAATTTGTGTTTAGAAGCAGTTGTGATTTTTATCAGATTTTATGGAATTTTCTGTCCAGATTATTTATATACTCTTAACTCTAAAAGGGCAACAATCTGTGCTTATCTGCTTATATATCTGAAATCACCCATCATAATCATATGTAAGCTTATTTACTAGATAACTATAAGATTATGCTCTGTACCACAAGATCTGTTCCTATTAACAGAGTTTATAAAATCGTCTACCGTTTTAACTCAGTCTTGTACGTAATAGCTGTATGGATAACGCCTGTTGTTCTGCACCCAGCACAGTCAGTCATTCCCATCATAATCACTGTAGCCTTGGTATCCACTATTCCTTCTCTCATGGATACTAGACATCTTTTTCCATGAGGAGTCCTGGTGAAAACTAGCACTGAAGGACCGACCCAGACGCCCATGCTGCTTCTTGGAGATATTGTCTTCACTCTCAGACTTGGCCATTCCCTGGGCATGTGTTGGAGGTTGTGATTCTTGTCTAATGGTTCCAAATGGAAAGTTCCAAAGGCCAAATCTTTGCCAATTAAGTCTCTGGAATGCTATGATACAATGCAAATTTCCCCCAACCTGAGAAGGAATAAAGAGAAATTAATCATAAATTTGTGGGTTGCTATGGACTTTACTTGTCTCCCTTGGGTTTTGTTTGTTTTTTTTCTTTCACATGTCAGAAAACAGTACTTTTCTTTTCAGACCTCATCAGAGCACACTATCCTACACATCTTTCCTGAGAGCTACCTTTATGAAAAATAACAAAGTCCTCAGGAGCCAAAACACCTCTCCCCACTCCATACGCCTCTCCACAACTTATTCTCACCCCATCTGCCTAATTCAGGCACCAACATTTGATTACACACACACACACACACACACACACACCACACACAAATGTGCATATGAGAGCTTCCCCCTCCAAAGCCTTGTTTGTATACATGGCTCTGCCCCATAATCAAAATTAATTTGGGCAAAGACTAAGGGACTGTACCAAGGTAGGTCAGTATTAGTCTGAACTGTTCATTGAGAGGTACAAATAAACTGAAAGGTGATAAACTTCAAGTAGTAATCAGATAAACAGAGAGCCAAGAACAACATACAGCCTACCTAATAGTGAGATTGCTAGCTACTTGGCTCCAATACTGGGTATCATTCCCTTTGACTGCAAGCTATTCTCCTGGCCCTTGAGTTTTACAGATAGCCCTGTATCCTTAAAATAATTTTCACTTTACCAGTAACATGGTTTGAACTGGGCTTCTGTTAAGAAACCTAGAATAAAGAATATCGAGGAAAATACTGCATTTTGGTCATTTGGGAAATGCTTCCAAATACAATGGTGTTCTTCTTACCTTCTTTGTTTTTCGAAACTGCAGCCCTCTTTCTAAGTGCCGGATATCTAGATATTCTGGATTTTGAGTGTTTAGGTCAGTGACAATATCTGCCCATCTACATTTAAGAAGAAAGGATACAGCACAAATATCCTTAGGTGCAAAGTACCACTGTCATGAAACTTCCACAGAGCAAGTCGCTGCAATATCATCACAGCAACAATTCTCTATCTCAGCATTGTTCTACCTACTAAGCTTTAAGAACTTGTTTTATGACAGTCATGTTTATCCAACTATTTTCAAGGTTCTTAGTTTACAACTGATTATTTTTCCTAAAAACTAAATGTGTCAACATATTAGATAATATCTTGGAGGCTAAAGCAGCAACATGCCATACTTTCTTCAATTATAATTAAATCAATTTCTTTTTCTTCAGATGGGGTTTCACTATGTTGAACTCCATCCTCTTGCTTCAGCCTCCCAAGTAGGTAGCTGGGACTAAAAGCACATGCCATTAAGCCTGACCAAAATTTTAAAACATTTCCCCATTAATATACAATATGATTTTGTATTTCCAATTACTAGAATTAATAAAGGAATTTGGTAAAGATGTAAAATTTGAGGTCTACATAGGAAAATTGGCAGAGGAGTGTGTACAACCAGAAAATAACTTGAAAATGAATTTTTTCAAAACTCCATTTATAATAAAAAAAAACTAGTAAAAAATGTAACAAAAGACTTGACTCTATATTGAAAAATACAAAGGGAATCAAAGGTAGGAAGATAGTGGCCTGAGGCCAACCCTGAAAAATAACTAAAGCAAAAAGACTGGGGAATGTGGCTCAAGCAAGCCCCAGGCCCTAAATTCAAACCCTAGGATTATCAAAAGAAATGAACAAACAAACAAATAAATAAATCTCTGCTGAGAGAAATTAAGTATTCCATATTGTTATGATGTCAACTCTTCTCAAACAAAACTATAAATACTATAGATTCTATCCTAATCAAATTCTCAACAGGCTTTTGTGACAAATTCCAAAATTTTTATGGAAAAGCAAGGGTTCTTCATGTGTTACTTGAATGAAGAAGCAGACACAAAATAATTTTGTATAATTCAATTTATATGGAATTCAAGAATAGGCAAAACAAATCTATGATTATGGAAATCAAAACACAGGTTGTCTCTGGGGCTGGACAAGAATGGAGAATGAGGGTACTTTCCATGGAAATGAAAAGGTGTCAATGGAGTGGTAATTACACAAGTATATACATTTATCAAAACTCATCTAATTATACAATTAGTATCTGTGCATTTCACTTACTCTAAATATCTCAATTAAAGAAAAAGAAAGCTACTGTAGCATACTTTTTACAGTGAATGGCAGGATGTTTTCTACTTGACTCTCCAATTAAAATCCAGTATTCCACTTCCTGTGGTGAGAGAGGACCCCTGCTAAATATAAAATACATTCATGGAAAACTCAATAAAGATCATTTGCTTCCTTTAATATATTGTTTGAGCTACATATCAATAAAAGATATACCAAAATTTATTCAATGATGGCATTCATTAATCTAGAGTTAGAATTTAGAATTTAGGATTGGGTAAACTTAAAGTGAATCCATAAATTAAATTTAAGCCTTTATTCCTCCTTCAAAATCTAGTGCTAAAAAGTTTTTAGACACTACCCTCAGATCCTAGCAGGAAAAACACATCCTAGCACTCCTTAGCTACTTTTCCCCTTTCATTCTACATGTAAGAAGTTCAAAATGCATCATAAAAATATAACCCTAAAGTGATAATGTACCAGGAGAACTTTTAAACACACTGATGCCCTAGTCCCATCTTGGAATTTTGAATTCAAATAGGTCTGGAATGGAGCTTTGGGATATGCATAGTTTGTTTGTTTTTTGTTTTTTAACTCAGGTAATGGTACAGGAATTGGCGAGGAACTCTAAGGGTAGAAAGTGGAGGTAAGTTTATGTTTTACTTTGGTACATTCATGAGATAAGGTGAATTTGTAGGATGAAACCACAAAAGAAATACAACAGTGTACCTCACTTATAAGAAATTCTACCTCCAGAGAGATGAACAAAGTATTTCAGGATGTGAGAGACCAAGCAGTTTCTCTCTTGCTCCTCATTCACAAAAACACAATATCCAGCTCCCTGGTTCCCCAACTTGCTCCTGCCTATCTTGGATTCCCCTTTTCTCCACATCCTTAAGGGCCTTTGAATGGGACTCCAAGGCCTCATGGCATCCGGTCCCAAAGAACCCATCCTATTCAGATGACGTAACTATGTTCTCCATTGGACCTTGGTCCCTTACTGAAGACGCAGTTTTGAGGGCAACCTGCCTCTTCTGTATCCTCAGTTACCAATCCCTATGACCCAAATGGAAAAAGTTAGAACCTTGACGCAGTGAGATGACCATGCGCTCCAGGACCTCTTCTCAAACAGAAGTATGGCTTCTGTTTTCACCAATTCTTAACACTTCTCCCTTTGCTTTTAGCTATCCTGGCATTTGCTCAACCCATCGTGAAGAAAACTTGCTAAGGAGAAGAAATAGTATTCAAATTCATCTACCTTCTCTTTCTTAGGACTGTCACTTTCAAAAAAAGATATAAGTTTAACTCTATGTAAATAAATGTAATTTATAAAACATAGACTCTGGAATACCAAAGAAAGAAACAAACATAACCCTGAAGGTAAAATGGCTCCTGACACTGGAAATAAAAATTGGACAATTCTTGCAACCAGGATTCTTCAAATAGTTTTTTCTTACAATGACTGAGCAACAGCATCTTGGTGGGCATTAGTTAAGGTGTAATTAACTAAATGCAATTCTGCACAACAATAAGCTGTAATATTTAAGGAATAATCTACTTTGGTGTAAGGAAAGATGATTACCAAACTTCTCAGTTTCTAATATACTTAGATATTTTTAATTCCTCAAAACACTTTCTACAATATATTTTCCTGGTGAAGTACCCAAGTAAAATATGCAAATGCTTACCTGAATGCCTTATTTGCTTTAACAGGGGTTGCTTCAAAGCCAATTGGACAAAAATAATGATTTTGACAATGATAGATATAAGCCAACGATTCATCCTTCAGTCCTCGTGTTAACTTTGACAAGGCCCCTGAAGCTACAAAAACAAAACCAGGCAAACAAACTGAGGATGCACAAAACAATGTTCAAATTTTATACAATGAACTAGTTAAGAAAAGAGAGACAGAAAAGGCATGACTTGGAACACATTGACACTGCTGGGGAAAAGTAAAAAGCTATTGATAGGTACAAAAACATTAATGAATTTGTTTTTGGTTTTACCCTTTGGAATGAAATTCACATTAAGTTCAATGCAGAAAAGAAATTAAACATATCCAAAACATTCTAATAATTCACAAAGTTGACTATGAAATTTATTTACTGTATAAGACTTTGTGTATATAGTACTGGTCTCAACTTTTCTAGTTGTGTATATATCTGTCACTAAAATTTTCTGAATAAGTATGCCCAAAATATTGGCTTATAAACTCTCTCTCATACATATTCATATATACACATATATACATATGTATACATATATATGTAAAACTGTACTAATAATTCCTTACAGGAGATATACAAAAAGAACATTAAATTAAATTAGATTAAAATATAAACATTTTAATATATGTAGTGTGTGCATCCCAATTTAAAGACAACTAATGTATGTGGATAAATATAACCTCCAGATAACAAGCTTCAAAAATGCCAGCTTCCCCCATTAACATACACTTTCATCTTTTCTACAAGAGTTATACCAGATGAGAGATGTCACTTTCATAATCAGAGTTGTAAGAACATCTCTAGAGAGTCAGGCTGGAGTAGCATAACAGCCTCTTCTAACCATTCCTCCTTGTCTGTTTCCTGTAACTATAATAGTTGTCAAGTAATTTCAAAAGTATTACCATATGAAACAAGTTTTTACCAGCAATCAGTACTCAAAGCCATTAACTGAGGTTTCATTAACTTGCATTCCTGGAAGAAATTAAATTATTTATTAAGAAATTGCGCATTAAAACTGAAAATCCTAAAAATAGCAGATAAAAGCTCACAAGTTATAATTATAATGATCGACTTTCTGGCCACTGAGAGAGATGAAAGCATGAAGAACAGCAGGTTAATGGCTACAGCAGAGAGCCAAGGGGAAGGGCCTTGCCCACCGCACACAATTTGCTCTTCTCAGGGAGATAAAAACGTTTCTAACTTAAACTCTTTCTGCAAAGTTTCACATGGGCCTTCTGCATACTTTTTCTTCATGGTGGACCATCAAAGCATTCCTGCACAGACAGGGGATTTTTCCTACTAAAATCTGTATTTTAAGCAACGCATGGTGGTGCAAACATGTGGTACCAGCACTCAGGAATGTGAGGCAGAAGAACAAGGCCAACCTGGGTTACAAGTGAGTTTGAGGCAAGCCTGACTACATAGCAAGACCCTGTCTGAAAGGAAACCTATGAATAAATAAATGATCTCTATTTCATAATGACAAATAACAAATCTTTCTGCAGTTTTTGGATCTGTCTTCACAATTTAAAAACTAAGTCCCCTGGCAGCTCTAGATAAAGAACTTTTAGAATTAAATTCAGAAGAAAGTTAGTATTTCATTTCCATAACTGAATTGAATTGTAGATAGGTTCCAAAATAATGAATAAGTACAAATGTGTATATTTAAACTCCTCATAAGTTCAATAATTATGTTTATATACACAGTGATTTAGAAAAACTTTTGAAATCTTTTTAAAACTGTGAAAATGCCAAATAAAAAGTTTTCTCAAATAACTGAAACTTTTTTTTTACAGTGCTGGGGATTGAACCTGAGCCTTGCATGTGCCAGGTAAGTACTCTAACCACTGAGCTGTATCCTCAGCCCTGAAACTTTTAACGTAAGAACTTTCATTATAACTTCAACAGAAGTTTTTGTGTACTTCACATTTATTTCCTTTCTTAAGTCAAATGAAATACACAACTTCTTTAGTCTGACTATGAATAAGTAATTTCATCCTAGAATATATTCAGGAGCACCATTTTATTTCCTATCAATGGAAAAACCACACTCTTGATAAGGAGGTTGGACACCATCTGTTTAGGAAGACAGAGCAATAGGTCTCAAACTTGAGAATAGAGGGCTAGTACTCATCCTCACAGTTCCTGACCCAGTAGGTCTGGGATGGGGAATCAAGATTTTGCATTTCTAATAAGTTACTAGGTGATGCTGAGGTTGAGCCAGAGACCACACTTTAACAGCCACTTGGCTAGAGTTAAGAGGAAATTTTGATTTAACTTAATTCATGGGCATCTAGTAACTACACTGATACTGCAGGGAGACAAAAGACAAACTCTCATAGAGAAGATGATACAAAATACACTGCAATAAGACAGCACAACAAAAGCAGTATAGAATTCAGAGGAAAGGGCACATGTTGGGTTTGAGGTATCAAGAAGGGGTAACATTCAAGATGAAACTTAATGAAGTAGCAGGATTTCGACAATCCAAAGGGAAGGGTATAGGGGAAAAAATTCACGGAAGAGGGAAGGATAAAATCTGGACCAGCATATCACCTAGTTTAGAGCACAGGGTACAACAGTAGATTGAAACCTACCATAGGATACCCTCACAATTTCAGGACAAAGTCAGAAAAAGATCACCCTCTGAAATAAAAGAAAGTAAATACAGAATTTAATACATTAAAGGTAGCCAGGTAGGATGGCTCATCCAAGCCATCTGTATATGAGAAGACATAAACTTGTTACAGATGGAAGTTAGAACAAAGTTCATTCTATACCAGCACATGTCTAAAAAATTTGAAACTTAAGTGACAAAGCAATCAGTGCCAAATTCAGAGCCTTGAGCTGTACGGTAGAGGGAGGAAAGCAAGGCTACCAGAATCAGCTTGTCTGGTACACAGTTAAGATGAGTGGACGTACTGAGCTGCTGACAAGAGAAGCCAAGTCCCTTTAGCACTGCTATGCTCACTTTAATACATTAACATCTGACATTCTTTGAGTTTGTTTGGTATGAACTTACCCTGTAGAAAATGATTATCTATAGGAGAACCCTAAAGAACTCTAAAAAAAAATCTCAGAATGCATTTTTTACATCTTCAAAGGTAAGGAGAGATTCTGGAATTGTGATAGGTAATCCATCAGCATCCCATCAAGGACCAAGAGGCCCTTGCTCTCTTGACATCTTTTAAATACAGTAGGTACAACAGAGTGGAAGGCCAATCTGTATTGGCTTTGAATGGTCCTACTGAGTTTTTATGCAGTAACTAGGGGTGTATTAATGCTACAGGTTAAAAAGAACTATCTGGCATTGTGTTTAATATGAACTGGAGAGAAACAGTGGATGAGGAAAACAGAATGTTAATGCCCAACTGATATGAACCTGAGGTCCCAGAAAGCTGGTAGCTATGGTGATGGGGAGGGCATAGTGAGTTATGTAGGGATAAGGTGAGGGTTGGCATTCTTAAGGCATAAACTGTAATACCAACTGAAAGAACAAAATTAAATACCTGAACATAAGTATAATTTTCAAGCTAGCTGATAAAAACATGAGTCTGGACTTTCCTGGCACAAAGTGGATGGGTGAGTGAATCTATACTTTTGAAATAACCATCTAAGATAGCTAATGTTGTCAACCTATAGTACAAAATTTCACAGTAATTAATTACACTTTTCCCCAGAAAAACTTAAAGCTTACTGTGGAAAACACCTAACAGTCCATTAAAATAATTTAAACAAAAAGAGAAGATATACTTCAGAGTGTTTTTTAAATAAGCAGCATTAACTGTCAATGGTTTTCACTGCTGAATATCCCAGAAACAAATGAAAAGAGCCCATCTCAGCAACTCTTTCTTCTACAGCAAGCAAGAACAGAAAAGACATTTGCTTCACATGGTTCCATTCCACCCACTGAACACAATCGGAGGCTATAAGGTGATGGGCATCATACATAGGACAGTTCCTATGGCATGACAAGGAACTGGACATTCACATGAAAAAGATAAGATATAAGGTAGCACATACTAAATGCCAAATGATGGGGGGGAGGACAAATATGGAGTACCACAGAAGTTAATAGGAATTAAGGGCTAAAGTGGCCAGAGAACACTTCAGAGATGAAACAAGGCATAGGACCATGATGGAGAAGGGGAAGATGAGAGAGCTGTAGTGGGGCAGCAGGTCTCGTACCTTTACAGAAATACACACAGGAAAAAGTTATGGGGAGAATTTAAACATTCCTAAAAATAGGAATAAAACTGGGAAATATATAACTAAAATATATTTGAAGAAACCACTACCGTCCCCTTGTCAAAAAAAGAAAACAGGTAATTTATTCCATTCCTCAAATGAAAAGACTGGATGAATATCAGAGGAAGTTTAAACACAGAGGTTAAAAAAGTCAGTGGAACCCAGTGAATGCCACACTCCTAACACATCCTAGATTATTAAGGTGACTGGATAGTGTTCGTATCCAAGCATTACATTTAAATAAGTCATGAAGAACTCAGAAGGGTCCAGACTATGGAAAAATAAGACAAAATACAGATTTCAAAAGATCTGGAAATAGAGACCTTGAATGAAATTATGGCATAAAATCTTAAAGTTGGAAAGGACATTTGGTCACAAATCTATTAAAATTCCAGAATGGTGTTCCCTAAATCCACTCTGTCCAGGGCTCTTTCATTCATTCTATTAATAAAAAGCTATATTTTCTTGCTTTGAGAATTTAGTTAAATTTACATAGCTAATGTTTCCTATATACCCAGAGTTTCTTTGACATCTTGTATTCTCTTATTTCTACTTTCTCTGGGTTTTCATGCTCCCTATTGACTCCCTTTTTTCTCACTGACTCATCTCTTCATCCATCCTGCCACTCTGTCTCAATGTTGCCAATGTTAATACAAGATAAAGCCATGCACTGCTCTGATAAAATCCCCTATGATCATAGACAATAAGATAAATGAGTGAAAGGAATATGGAGTCCTGACCTGGTGTTTCCCAGGGCTCCTCTCATAATGCAGACTTGGACACAAGCCTAAGAACCACAGGCTGACTACTGTGCCCCACATGCATGTATGACATCTTGTCCACTGATTTTTTCTAGTCCCCTAGACATACATTTTAGTACTCTCTCCATTAAAAGAGATACAAAGCAGTCCCATGAAGTAGGTAGGAAATGATTTAGAGATGTACTAAACCTTTTACTGAACAATTATAATGTAGATGGCAATGTTCAAGGGACTGCTAAATGAAAATTTCAGGTCCTTAGGAACAGATGCCATCTAGAAACCTGGAAAACTGCCAACTGAGAGGCTCCAAGAGGAAGCAGAAAGACAACAAGTGTTCTGATGAAAAGCCGGGGCAGAGCTAGAACCAAGTGTGGATGACTCTGTTTTTGGGAGAGTAGTCACGGAGAAAGCAGGTAGGCGCCAGAAGAAGAGATGAGCCAAAGAAAGAAAAATTAAATATTTTCCTTTTCATATCAGGGTAAAAAGCACTTCCAAAGGCCCAAGGCCTGCTTTTTTGATGAAGAAAAACAAAAATTCTCTTCTAGAAGTTTTCAAATCCCAACCCACTGAATTCCAGGATTCACTAACTCCTAACAAACACCTAAGCATCAGGCATTGAGATGCATAAATGATAAGAATGTGGATCCTCCTCCTTCTCTGCCCTCAAGGAAGAGAGCTCAGGTTTTTCCAGAAAAAACCATCTGTGATGCCTGGCATGATCCGTGGGGTGGATTCAATCTTGCCTAGCATGCAGAAGAAAAAGTCTTCCTTCCATTTGAGCCTAAAATGGATAGATGAATTGGAATTTGTCAAAGTAAGAAATTCCATATTCCACATGTACTGCAGCAGGCCACTCTATAAGCATGGTGCTAAGGACTAACGATCACCCATACTTTGTGAAGAAGAGGGTAAGAGAGAGGAGCCCAGCATGGCCCACCATAAGAGACTAGCTGAGGTGAGGCACAATAATGCCAGTCCCTCAAGCACCAAAATGAGGTATTTGGGCTTCATTCAGTAGGTCCAGGGTTGACAATTGCCTACCTACAAATCAGATCCAGCATCCAGACTCCAGACTCCAGCCTCCAGCCAGTTTTTGATTGGCTGGTAAACTAAACAATTTAGAATGAAAAAATGTGATTGAAATTTTTTAAATCTCAAACTTAATGTAGAACATAAAAAATAAACCAGACAAAGCTGAAAAGAAAATTAGTAATCTGGAATATATCTCCTGCTTTAGTTTCTCATTGCCTGATCAGTTCCTGAGGGGGAGTGTTGCATCTCCCTGGAAAAAATACCAACACACTATTTTAAGCTGTCTTTTCCACAGAGAAAGACAGACCCCATGTGAATGCAGAGTTCAATCAGTAAGAATAAAAGCTAGCACTTATCAAGTCTTTACTCCACGTAAAATAACCTGCTAAATCTATTACAAATATCTCCTTTTTTATCTCCACAGCGCCCAACACAGTGGATACAAATAACAGAAAGACAAAAGGTTTACACAGAGACTCAACAAGTGACTTGTTCAAGGTCACAAAACGAGTATGTGTAGAATCACAAGTTTGTCTACCTCATAATTAACTTGATATACCCAGGATAGGCCAACAGAAACAAACCTTACTCTATGTTCAATCCTTGACACTGGAAACCATTGTACTCTGTTGACAACTCTCTCCTTGATAAGTTCTTTAGTTCTTTTCTCAGCCATGGCTTCTCTGTCCAGTTTTCACAAAAATCCTGCCAAGTCAGTCTGCAGAGAATCTTCTACCTTTTGTAGTTGACTGAGCTCCTTATCATCTTCCACACTTGATATCTAAGCCCTTGACCTGGCTAATCTCTCATCCCTATAACAACATCCTATTGCAACAATCCTGAGTAGTCTTTATTCCATTTCAAGAAGCATCAGAATAGTTGTTTTCTTTAAACTACATTACCATTTTTGACTTTTAAAGTCCAAAGATACTGTAACAATTTTAAATGAAAATTGTTAAATAATACTAATAATTTAATTAGCATGCAACTAAAATAATCCATAACATCAGTTCCATTAATATTTCAGTTATAACCAAGATGTTTCATAATAGAGTTTTGTCACCTATATAGTCTGTTGTCCTGTTGTTTTGTTATCATACAGGCATAGTGTCAAATACTCTCAGGTCTCTTCCATTTGCTTTTATGAAAAGAAACTGGAAATTCCAGGCTGTCTCCTAAAGCAGCTTTACCAGCACACACATGCATGCATGTAACATGGACCCAAGCAATATCAACAACATCATAGTGTTTATGATGTGCCTTAAAGTTCTACAAACTGTACATGCAAATATCAGAGAGGTAAAAATATTAAGCTCTATATTGAAAAGCACCCTTCAGTCCTGATTTTCCCCTTTCAGATGGACCCTAAAGCGTGTGTATGTGTGTGTGTGTGTGTGTGTGTGTGTGTATAAATCTTCCAAATATTCACCTACCAGTTTCTCCAGCTGTTTTGTTCTTCCCATGAGGCTTGTATAGAACATAAGAGCATCCTTTTACATGGAAGTGGTCATTAATTTGTCTAAACCATCTGAAAATAACAAGAAGATTTGCTCATAGCAACAGTTCTATAACAAGAAAGGCCATTTTTGCAGCTCTAGAGAAACTCAAGCAAAGCCCAAGCTATGCATATTTATAAGAGCTGCGAACAAGCATCAGGATACACTCACACCTTAGGCACCATTACTTTGCAGAACTATAAATCATTGCATTGCCTCTAAGAAGCAGCTTCATACCTCATGAGTGTTGTATTTCCAGTGAAAGGGCCAAACCTAATATCTTCAAATGGGGGTTGAAAGCCCAGTATATGTAAAGCCTCTTCTTGGGTAATAGGTGGAAGACTACAAAAGAAACATTGCCTTTCATTTTGCAATTCCAGTTATTTGAAAATATAATCTGTCTTAATGTTAATATATCTATCTGGCTTGCAAACAATTTTAGTAAAAACTTTCATCTTTATTTTATTGAAAACAATACATGTATATATTTTTAAATAAAAGACTTATAACAAAATGAAGCAGTTTTGTTGCTCTTTTCCTTTTCTTTTTGGTGGTACTGGGGTTTGAACTCAAGGCTTTGTGCTTCCCAGGCAGAAGTTCTACTGCTTGAGTCGTCCTCCAGACCATTTTACTCTGGTTATTTTGGAGATAGTGTCACTCTTTTTGCCCAGGCCAGTCTGTACCATGATCTGCCTATTGTAGGCTTTCCACCATCAGTGGGATGACAGGCACACATCCCAACACCTGGCTTTTTTCTATTGAGGTGGAGTCTTGCAAACTTTTTTTCTCTGGGCTGGACTGGAACATCAATCCTCCCATCTCATCCTCACACGTAGCCTGGGATGAAAGGCACGTGCCACCATGCCATGAAATTGCCCTGGCTGGCCTCAAACTGCAATCCTTTGCATCTTAGCCTCCTAAGTAACTAGGATTATAGGCATGAACAACTGGCACCTGGCTTGGTTTTATCTTAGTATACACACACACACACAAAAAAAATCAATTCTCAAAGTCTTCCATTATAGAAAAAAATAACATTAAACTACTTTCAAATTCAGAGTTTAGGAATGCCAATAAACTAACATACTTACTTTCCAGCTCCCATTGTGCTGTATAAAAAATTCCAACAGGAAATTAAGGAGGAGATGCCACAAGAAGTCTTATATTGTGGTCGGCTTATGCAATACCTGAGAAAATGGAAGATATTCTCTTAACATAAATGGATATGAAAAATGCATAATAGAAATATATATCTCATGGTGATGCAAAGTGTTAATATAATGAAAGCTTTGATCATTTAAGGCACTGTAAAATCTTTATTCATTTAAAATATCTTCTAGTTACTAAACACAGTATAAATGTGTACTAATAACAAATCCCCTGCTACAGTGAGGATAGCTAATTATGGCTAACTACTAGTTAAAGTGAATGTTATCCAAACCAATGGAAAAAATTAATGATAAATGAATTCAAAAATCAACTATGAAATTTTGATCTGAATGCCTACTGGAGCTGCATGTATGATTACTTCTGAGACACTGGAGAAACAAAGCAAAGCATTTCTCCCATGTATCAAATTTTTATAGTGATTCTTCCACTTAAACTAAAACCATCCATTTATTATACACCATGTTCAGCTAAAGCCCCAGGCAAGAAGTCATAGAGCAGAACTATCATAGAGGATTTTAAAAGTGTAACAGAAGATCCTTCTATTGGCACATTTTAGTTACACTATATAAACCAGGTAATTTTCCAAGTACTCATATTTTGAGAGAAACAACAAAGGCCAATGTAACCATAAAGAAAAAGAAAGACTGCAGTATTCAAGGAAGAAATAAGATTGGCTTTTGAATGCTCTTTTTCTACTGAAGGTACTAATCAGAGAGGACAAAGGAGAAAAGAAAACAAGCCCTATCATCATTAAGCACACTTTTAGTCATACCTGAAGAACTATTTACAAAAAAGAAAAATTATGTCTATATATATATATTATATATATATATATATATATATATATATATATATAATATATATATATATATAATATGAATACTGGTACATACACCAATCAGCAATGACCTTTACTGTACAGACTGAACTAGGACCATTATATTACAAAATATAGTAGTTGTCCTTTGACATAATATACTAATTGTTATGGGCTGAGCTAAAACTATATACTTCACTCTTGATAACTCTGAACGCAACCTGATTTAGAAATAGGGTCTTTGCAGATGTGTTTAAGTTAATTAAGAGGTTATACTGAGATAAAGTGGGACTTTAATCTAGTGTGACTGGTGTCCTTACAAGAAAAGGCACACAGGGAGAAGAATGCAATGTGAAGAAACAGACACATGCAATGGAGACCTTTAGATACTATATGAATTTTAGGATATTTTTCTACTTCTATAAAAAAAAGTCACAGGTATTTTCACAGAAATTGCAGTTGAGTTTGTCATTCCCTTTGGGTAGCATGGACATTTTAATAATACTAAATCTTCTATTCTATGAAAATAGAATGATTTTGCATTAATTTGTGTCTTCAGCTTCTTTCAGCAGTATTTTATAATTTTCAATGCAAAAGTCTTTTGCATCCTTGATTAAACTCATTCCAAAGTATTTTACTCTTTTGGTGCTATTGTAAAAGGGATTGCTTTTCTTCATTTCCTTTCTGGATTGCTCATTGTTAGTATATACAATTGCAACAAATGAGTTGTTTTGTATTCTACAACTTTGCTGAATTTTTTTAATTCTAACAGTTTTTTAATGGAATCTTGTGATATCTACATTTAGGATTATGTCATTTTCATGATGTTACTTCTTCCCTTCTCATAGACACCTTTAATTCCTTTATATTGCCTAACTTACCTGGCTAGGACTTCCAGGACATTTGAGTAGTAGTAAGAGTGGACACCATTGTCTTATTCCTAAGTACAGAGGAAAAGTTTCTGTATCCTGTAATATGGAATATGAGCTTTCATATATGGACTTTATTATGTTTAGGTAGTTCCCTTCTATTCCTAGTAAGTTGAATGTTTTCACCATGAAAGCATATTGAACTCTATTAAATGCTATTCTGTGTCAATTAAAATGATCATGTGATTTTTGCCTAAAATTCCCATGATGTACATCACACTGAGGTTTAGAGCCATCCTTGCATTCCAGGAGTAAATCCCATTTGGTCATGGTATATATTTTTTAATGCACAGTTGAATTTTTGTTTCCTAGTATTTTGTTAAGGATTTTCACATCAGCATTCCTCAAGGAATTTATTTATTTATTTATTTAGTGTGCATGAGTGTTATTACTAGGTATTATACCTAGGCTCTCACATGTGGTAGGCAAGCACTCTATCACTCAAGCTACACTCCCAGCCCTTTTGATTTAGAGGTGTGGCCTTGCTAACTTTGCCTGGGTCAGCTCAAATTCACGATCCTTCTGCCTCACCTGAGTCACTGGGATAAATAGGCAAGCCCTACCACTCTCAGATACATATTTCTTTTCTAAAATATCAGTGCTGGTTCTGGGACCAGAGTAATGCTGGCCTCATAAAATGAATTTATAAATGCTCCCTCTTATCCAATTTTTTGGAAGAGTTTGAGGAGAACTGAAGTTCATACTTTCCACTTTTAACATTTGAGATGATTGTGGTGTTCTCACACCTCAAAATACAGGCAGCCTGTGTTCCTTTCTTGCAATCAATCATTGCCTTCCCCACAACTCACTAGAGGCAGCGTCCTCAGCTAGAAGTCTGGCAGTAAGATAATGAAGTGGTGGTTGGCACAGGGTCTCCTCCTCAAGCCCTCCCTGCATTTCTGCCATGCTAAATAGGATCTCTATAAAAAGCCATGCTGCTTCTCATCTCACACTTCTGCTCTCACCCCTGATCACTGGATGCTTTCAGGATGAGCACTGCATGAATGTTTAAGGGAACTTGAATTGGATTTGCCCTGCAGTAGTCTGTGACATTTTTATTGTCTCCTTCCTACTGTTCCAGAATGCTCAGGATTTGAGAAGTACATCTTAGAGCCTATGATTTAGGAATTTTGCTCTTTCTTTGTTATAGGGAAAATGGAGATTTTTCCATGTTTTTTGTGTATATGGTTTTGAGGGAGGAGTAGAGTTTTTTTAATCCTGTATTATACTCTGTAATATTAAAATCTCCCACTTCTATCTTAAATACTTCACTAATCTCAAGATCAACTCTAGGCATCCAAACAAAACCAGCTTTCTTCCACTGAAATTTTATCCTCTCAAGGGTCCAAGTGACAACTAAATTCACTGGAATTCTCTTAACTGTATAGATGAGAACAGGTCCCTAGAATGAGCAATTTTCTAATGTCCTGATTCAAGCAATCAATATGGGTGTGAACGTCAGTGAAAAGATATTTATGGACAGGTAATTATTAAATGGTCCACACTGGTGAAGCACAGAAACTCATTCATTTATTAACTTTTTTTTTTGCTGCTGACAGTTTTGCCAGAGTTCAAGCTTTAGTATTATTTTATGAATCCAATAACATGTGTTTTACATGTTGCAAAATTCATCTTCACATGTGTTTGTAAAGCATTATATGTAAGAAAGTATTCTTTCTCCTACTGCCAAGTTTGTCATTATAACATTAAAAGAAAAAAAAGAAAAAGGAGAAGGGAAGGGGGGTTTCCCTTAAAATCTCTCATCTTTATTCATTAATCCAAACTTGCTTACTAGTCTTTCTCATAACCAGGTTAAAGCTCATACCAACATTCTCCTATTCTAAGGGTCTTTACATCCAAATTCCCACAACATTCCCAGTGGGAAGTAAGCCCTGGTGATCCTTTCCATCCAGGCATTTCTATCATCCATCCTTCCACGTTCACACCTTTATGTCCTTGCATATTATACTATTAAAATATAATTATACATATTTGCTATTAAAACAAATCTTAAACTGTAAAAGATTAAAAGCAAAAACAAGCAAAGCCATAACTCAAAGAAAGCAAAATTAACGGTTTTAATTTTTCTGTCTCTAATACACACTACATACTAACTACTTCCAATTTATCTTTGTGAAACATCATTTTGTTAAGAAATTTTCAATGGCTTATATCTGCCTCAGGAAAAAAAATTGATGGGGCTCAATTTTTTGAGGATATAGCTCAGTGGCAGACATGTGCAAATTCCTGAGCTCAATTCCCAGCACCAAATAAATGAATGTTTAGCCTGATACCCAAGAAGAAGATCATGATGTATTATAAAGAAATAGCTCTGACATGTGCAAGGCCATGGGTTCAATATACAGCACTGCAAAGAAGAAGGAGGAGGAGGAGAGGAGAAGAGAAAGAGAGAAAAAGAAAGAAGGAAGGAAGGAAAAGAAAGAAAGAAAAGAAAAAAGAAACAGCCTCGATTTTGGAATCTGATTCTTCAGTTTCAATACAAGACCTTCTACTTATTATCCATGTGATGTTGGGTGAGTTTCTTAGCTTCTCTGAGCCTGAGCCTTACTCCAAACTACTCTCTGGAAGCTCACTCCCTGTCTAATGTCTATTATCAACATGTCAGCAACTTGCCTACCACCCCTTCAAAGACCTTTCACCCCCTGTGTCCCCTCTCTTTCCAACCTTAAGACCCATCTCCTGGTGACCATGACCCCCTCTCATGGTTGACCATTTATTCATTACCTATCATCTAACAAAGTACCTAAGATAGCTCATATCTTTCTTCTTTCTCCACGCTTCTCAACAAGGCTTCAAACCTTGGGAAAACAAAGACTATGTTTCTTGCATCTCTGAATGCTCAGCCCAAAATATAGGATGCAGAAAGCCAGGGACATGGTTTAAGTAGTAGAGTACCGGCCTAGCAAGCATGAGGCCATTGGGTTCAATATTAGTTAAAAATACTAAATAAATGGAAAAAAAAAACACGTCTGAAACATCAAAAAACCTTTTTAAAACTCCAATAATAAATTAGTTATATTTGCAGGGTAGAGGCATGGCTCAAGTGGTAGAGCCCTTGTCTAGCATCACAAGGCCCTGGGTTCAATCCCCAGTACTGCAGAAAAAGAGAAGAAGGAAGAGAAGAAGAAAGGAGGAGGAGGAGGAGAAGAAAGAAAATAAATTAGTAATATTTGAAAGCTATCATGAACTAAAGATGTTCTTTCTTTAAAAGAGGACCTATATTTTAAAGTAACCCAATAGTTCCAGTTGATAAATGAAAATTCTTCCTATAATATAGCCAGGTAGTTAAAGTAGAAGGCATGATATAATTGAAAAATATCACCATTTTGCAACAAGAATTCAGGCAACAGTGGTCCGTGGTTTGGCTACATGAGGTGAAGAGTTGATGACAACCTGGATGCCCCTCTGTCACCCACTTAAAAGTAGCATGGGGAAAGAAACAGCTAGCCACCACCTTAACCCAGTAACTGCTCTTAGGCTCTCTAACCTTGGATACTCAGATACTATGTGCTTTTTGTTGTGAAGCAATTTGCAGTACCCAGGATCATTTTAAGTGGTATTCTTGGCTAAACTGTTTGATGGGAATCTAATCAAATCTTCTTATCTAACTTCCAATTAATAAAAGTACTGAGATTATATAAATAAACAGCCACAAAGAAAAATATCCAGATGGTAGGAGATCCTACCAGATATCTACTCAAGCCTCTTCCATAAGTCGACAATTTTTATTTGTCAATTGAAACAAATAAACAAGTACATAAACAAAGAAATAAGAAGCAGGGCATGGAAGTACATGCCTGTAATACCAGCACTGAAGGCAGAGCAAGAGAATCATGAGTTCTAGGCCAGGCTGCTACACAGTGAGACTCAGTCTAATAAAGAAAGAGTGATAGAAGTTAATATCCTAGAATTAAAAAGGGGCTCAGGGAAGCAGAGTGGATATTGTCTAAATTAAGAAAGATCTATGAACTTATGGTTATGGTAAGCAAACACATATGTGGTGGATTTTGGGGTCCTCAACCAGGCATGAAGATATTTTCAGAACAGTTCAGAAGTGTGAATTGTATCTGTAAATTATACACCATGAAAGTGTTGCTTATTTTTTATTAGGTATGGGAGTTGTATTGTGATTGAGTAAAAGTCGTATTTGAGAGATGCATACTTAATTTGACATGAGGTATGATAAGTACCAGTCATTTCCCTGAAAATTCTTCAGCAAAGAATAAGCAGGCATACATACATCAAAATTTAAGCAACGTGAAATCTGGACACCATTGTGTGCAATCATGGGTGGCTAATGGCCAAGCAAGTCTGGGAATCACAGACAAAGCTCACAGCTGTTTACTTCAAAAACTTGTAACAAATTTCAAATATTTAGAAATCCTGGATATAGTCTTAGATCTAAAAATGTTTATCATACATATAATTTATTAGATTATAAAAAATAAAATTGATGCCAAAATATAGATTTTTTTAAATTGAAAAATAAAAACTTATAACATTACCATCGTCTCAGGTCTAATACTTTCCGCTGTTTGATGTCTTCAAGAGGAGAATGATACAGACACTCCCTCTGATGTCTTCCTTTTTTATCTGAAGTTTTTTTCTTGGAAACTTGTTTCTTTGCATTGCCTAGAATACATGGGCAAAATACATGAAAGATGAAAGATGAAATGAACCATCATGACAAAAATTATACACTAAAATTAAAATGTTATTACCATTAGTTCTAATGATGATATCTGCAAGCATATTGAAAAATACACATATTTTAAGAATAGTTCCCAACCTCAATTAGAATGTAAAGAGAATAAAACAATTTAAACCACCATAAGTGCTATTTCCCATCAAGTTCTTATATTCCAACTCCAGAACTAGTCACTTAGCTGGTAAAAGAATCAATCACTGTATCTTTGGCCACATCTAGAAAATCAAATTATCAACAATAAAATATGAAACTAGACCACTTTCCAGAAGATGAATGTTTTCTACAGAGCAATAGAATCATATCAATGCAATTCTGTTACAAAAGCACAAACCAACACATTGGACCCAATAAAGTGATGATGTGGTGTTTAAAAATATCTCCAGGTCTTCAGAGATCATAAAATGGATTTAAAATGATGCGAACAATGCCAGCTACTGGGGAAGTAGATACAGGAGGATCAAGATTGGAGGAGTACAAGCTAGCAAGATGCTATCTCAAAAGCTGGGCACTGTGGCATATCTGCAATCCCAGCTGCTGTGGAGGCAGAGGCAGGAAGATCTCAGTCCAAGACCAGCTCAAGGAAAAGTTAGCAAGAGATTCCTACTAACTTTGTCCAAAAAACAAACTAAAATAAAAGAGACTGGGGGTTTTGCTTAAGTGGAAGAGCACTTACAAAGGAAGGCCCTGAGTTCAACTCCCAGCACTGAAAAAAAAAAAACCAGAATGATGCACTCATGTACACTATTAAAATGCAACATTAGCACCAGGAACCAGAACAGAAAAGCCAAGAAAGTCTCTTTTCTGCATGTGTGTGTGCATGTGTTTGCATATATGTATCATACACAAACACACAGGTGCACATGTGCAGCAAAGGGAAAAGTGAAAATTTATCCTGTTTATTTTTTATTCTTTTTATTTTCAAGTCATGTTCATGTAAGATCCAGTTAAAAGAATTTATAAATTAAAATATTGATAAATAACACCTAAGGCTAATTTTGTTAACTTGTTATTACTATTCCAATCAGCTAGATTCAAATAATTTTAACAGCTTTCACATATATTCTAGAAATGAAATGTACATATATACATATATTCCATAAATGAGTTGTGTCTCATAAAAGTTAATTGAAGGTTAACATTTTATGAGTTTTTCATAAATTCCAAAAGGCAGATTATATAGATACCTAGTAAATAAACATGACAAGAGTTCTGTTTTATTCATTCACAGTGACCTACAATGCAACTACATGGCACTCCAAACCAATTGGTGCTCAGGAGCTATTGTCACACAGGGAATGTGTATAAAGTGTTATAATAATGAAAACTACACAATCAAGAAACAATTTTTTTCATCCAGGTGCAGTGGCTTATACCGATAATTCCAGCTACTTGGAAAGTACAGTTGGAGGCCAGCATGGGCAAAGAGTTTGCGAGACCTCATCTCAACCAATAAGCTGGACTTAGAGGGATGCACCTGTCATCCCAGCTATGTAGGAGGTGTAAGTAAAATCACCCATCATCCAGGCCAGCTCCTGGCAAAACTCTTCAGAAAATGAATAAAAGCAAAAAGGGGTAGGGACATTATTAAAGTAACAGAGCATCTGCCCAGAAAGTTTCAGGCCCTGAGTTCAAACCACAGTATTCCCAGAAAAAGGGGGTGAAAAAAGAAAGAAAGAATTTTTCCTCCCTTTTAATTAGTCCTAGGTATTCACAGAGAACATAACACAAAATTTTTCAGAACTGAACAAACACTTGCAAACATGAGTTAAATCTCACTGGCCAAATTTCCTTCACTGATAAAATGAATCTCAGTCAGAAGACAGGAAAGTGTCTGTTCATCATTTCTAAAGATGTCTTCACTGTGTAATAATGACCTAATTTCCTTAGTACTTTTCCTAGCCACTTAAAGATGTAAGGCTAATAAACCATCAGGGGTTGTGACCTCAATCAGAACAGAAGTGTTCTGTCCACATGCTTCCCTTCCAGGACTTCAGGAGCCTGCCTCTGTCCTCTTATCATTGACTTGTGTGATTCCCTGCTGGGGTAAGAGAGCACATATGCCAGCACACTTCATTGTGTTAACTTGGTAGGCTATGATACTTACTCTACCACAAAGAGATCTGGTCCCAGGCAAAGTTTCATTCAATTTGTAGGAAAGAAGCTGTGTCAAGAAACATAAAAGAAAATCCCCTGCACACTTCTATCTTCTCATCACATCAACTTCGGTAACCTTTATAAATTACCCTTTACAATAACCATTTCCCTTCTTCACCCTACCCACAACATACCCACATAACCCCTGACCTCAACACACACACACACACACACACACACACACACACACACACACACACACACACACACTATACTGGCTTTTAAGTATTAAGATAGCAAATGAAAGAAAACCCATCATCATTTTTACTCAGAGAACCACAAGACAGAGTTCTAGGCAATCACCATGAGTGGAAAATGAGGTGAGGAAGAACCCAACAAAAGGAGAGCCACAAAGAAAGGGGGCCCAAATTCTTGTAAAATTTGGCACAAATCTTGGGCTGACCCCTAAACTATAGATGCACAGAGTAGACACCAAGGAACAAAACATAGGCTAAAAGAACCAAAGTGAACTGGAGCTATCTCCAAGAGATAGAACTTACAGCTTTAGTTCAACCAAATTAATTGTCTGACAAAAAAAAAAAAAAAGAACACTATTGGGAGGAATATACCAGAATCAATACAGCAGTCCTACTATCTAGGAAACAATCTAAAATTACGGAACACGTGAGAAAACTGGAAAATATGAGTTATTTTCAAGGGGGAAAAAAAGGCCAACTCTTACCTGACCCACAGTTTGGAATCTGCAGATGAGGATTTTAAGGTAGGTATTGTAACTATGCATTATGAGACTGATAAAATGCTCTTATAATAAATGAAAATGTAGCAAATCTTTTCCAGTGAGAAACAAGCTATAAAGAAATATAAATTCTAGAATTACAATAAATGAATGGAAAAATATGTACCATGCAAATGCTAAAAAAAGAAAGCAGGAATAACTATGTCAGTATCAAAGTAATTTTCAGAACAAGAAATACTGTCACTATTTCATATGGTGAAAGAGGTCAATTCTTTCAGAAGGTATAAAAACAGGTACATGTGAAAAACAGACATGAAGACCAGTGGAACAGAAGAGAGGGCCTGGATATGAATCCACACAGCTATGCCCACCTTATTTTTGACAAAGATGCCAAAGACATGAGATGGAGAAAAGACAGCCTGTTCAACAAATGTTGCTGGGAACAGTGGTTATCTGCCTGCAGAAAACTGAAACTAGATCCATGTTTATCTCCCCATACTAGTATCAATTCAAAATGGATCAAGGACCTAAATATCAGACCCAAAACTCTGTAGTTAGTACAGGAAAGAGCAGGGAATACTCTGGAAGCAATAGATAGGCAAGGACTTCCTCAATAGAACCCCAGCAGCTCAGCAACTAAGAGAAAGGATGGACAAATGGGACTACATAAAATTAAAAAGCTTCTGCACAACAAAAGAAATGTTCTCTAAACTGAAGAGACCACCCACAGAGTGGAAGAAAATATTTGCCAGCTATACATCAGACAAAGGACTGATAACAAGAATATACAGGGAACTTAAGAAACTAAACTCTCCTAAAATCAATGAACCAGTTAAGAAATGGGCAACTGAACTAAACAGAACTTTTTCAAAAGAAGAAATTCAACATGAAAAAATGTTCACCATCTCTGGCCATAAAGGAAATGCAAATCAAAACCACACTAAGATTCCACCCACCCATTAGAATAGCTATCATCAAAAACACCACCAGCAACAGGTGTTGACGAGGTTGTGGGGAAAAAGGAACCCTCATACACTGCTGGTGGGAATGCAAGCTAGTGCAACCACTCTGGAAAACAATATGGAGGCTTCTTAAAAATCTAAACATAGATCTGCCATATGATCCAGCAATCCCACTCCTGGGGATATACCCAAAGGAAAGTGACTCAGGTTTCTCCAGAGGCACCTGCACACCCTTGTTTATTGCAGCACTATTCACAATAGCCAAGTTATGGAAATAGCCAAGATGCCCCACTAATGATGAATGAATTAAGAAAATGTGGTATTTATACACAATGGAATTTCACTCAGCCATGAAGAAGAATGAAATCTTATCATTCCCAAGTAAATGGATGGAACTGGAGAATATCATCCTGAGTGAAGTTAGCCAGGCTCAGAAAGCCAAAAATCATATGTTCTTCCTCATATGTGGACTTTAGACCTAGGGCAAATGCAGCAATGTTGTTGGACTTGGGTCACACGCTAAGGGGAGAGCACATGCAGGAGGAATGGGGATAGGTAGGAAACCCAAAACTTGAAAGTGTTTGATGTCCCCACTACAGAGGAGATAATACAGTAACCTTAAAGCGACAGAGGTCAATATGGGAAGGTGACTGGGAAGTAGTGAAGAGATAAGGTGGAGATGAATCAATTCAGGTTGTAATACACTTGTGCATGGAAGCAATGCTAGGAATCTCTCTGTATAGCTATCCTTATCTCAACTAGCAAAAACGCTATGTCTTTCTTATTATTGTTTATGTCTTCTCTTCAACAAAATTGGAGAAAAGGGCAGAACAGGTTCTGCCTGGAAGCTTGGGGGGTGAGAGGGAAGAGGGAGGGAGCAGGGGGCATGGGGGAGAAATTACCCAAACAGTGTATGCACAAATGAATAAATGAATAAAGAAAAAAACCTCATACTTCAAATCACATTTTCAAGAAAATCAGAATTAAATGGGGAGCAAAGAGCACCAGAAACCTGTTTCCCTCCTAGACAATGATCACACTGTTGAATCTGTTTGCTGCAACTATTCTGGAACTCTGGAGTCTGTTCTAGATGGAACTTTCCAGGGGAAGGTTTGACAGTGAATTGTGGATAATTTCAGTCAATTTTAGCTCATAGCAAGGTAATGCCTACCTATTCTTCAGCCCAATTGCAGGCAACTGTGAGCTGCTGGACAGCTTGGGGAGCCAGGCTGGGCTCAAAGGATGTTGTCCTACAAAACCAGGTATCTGTGTTTCACTTGCTGATTACTGCTTTAGATCTTGGAAGGAAGCACAGTCAGTGCTTCCTTTCTCCTAGTTGAACTCTCCTCCTCTTCAGCTGAAGCAATTGCCAGGGGATTTAAAGGGCCAGTGTCTTTTTGTGTTACTTTTTCCTGTCTTTTACTTTCCTTCATATTCCTGTGTTTGCTACCTTTTGGGATAGGATATTCAAAACAGCCACATACACAGGGAAATTTGGAAGTCACTGTCCATGTCTAGGGAAAGAATAAATTAAAAAAACATCTCAGAAGCCCTTAAGTTTACATTTCAGGCTGTTCACCAGCACAGACTCACAAAAATAAAACAAACCCAAAAACCCCTGAAGAAGAGGATAATCTGATTTCCAGAGTTACCACATTAAAAGATTGCATGTGTCTGGACTGGGGGCATAGCTTAAGTGGTAAAGTGCTTACTTATGCAGCATGAGACCCTAAGTTCAATCCCCCAGTACTACCGAAGCAAAAACAAAAACAAACAAACAAAAAAGATTACATTTGTAAGTACAGTTTCCAATTTAAAAAAAAAAAAGACATAAAAGAAACAGAAGGTATGGTTCACTCAAAAAAACAAAATACCCAACAGAAACCATCTCAGACGAAGACCAGAAGGCAGACTTGATAGACAAAGACTTTAAAACTGTCTTGAAAATGTTCAAATAACTAAGGGAAGATGCCTGTATGAATAAATGGAGATAACAATAAAGAGACAAAGAATCTAAAAGGAAACCAAAAAGAAATTCTTGAGCTAAAAATTACAGTGACTAAAGTAAAAAATTCACAAGAGGGATTCAATAGCTGATTTGAACAAGCAGAAGAAAGAATGGATGAGCCTGAAGATAGAACAACCAAGACTATTGAGTCTAAAGAACAGAAAAAAAACAAAAAAACAAAAAACAAGAAAGATTAAGGAAAGCTTAAGGGACCTAGGGACACCATGAAGTGCAACAACCTATGTATTCTGGGAGTCCCAAAGGAGAACAGAGAGAAGAAAAGATAGAGATAGTCAAAAGAAATAATGGCTGATAAGTTCCCACATTTGATGAAAAATATGGATATATTTATGTGAGAAGCTCAAAGAACTCTAAGAGATCCACACCAAGACACATTATAATCAAACTGTCAGATAAATAAATACAAAGAGAGACTCCTGAAAGAAGCGAGAGAGAAGCAACTCATTGCATAGAAGAGGTCCTCAGTAAGAACATTAAGATTTCTCATTAGAAATTTTGGAGGTCAAAAAACAGTGGTCTAACAAAATAAGAAGTGCCAAAGAAGAAAAAAGGTCAACCAAGAATCCTATGTCTAGCAATGCTGTCCCTCACAATTGAAGATGAAATTAAGAGATCCTTTAACAAGAGAATAGATTACCACTAGATATGCCTTGTAAAAAAATGTTAAAAAGAGTCCTCCAGTTTGAAATAAAGGATAATAGATGGTAACTCAAAGCCATATGAAGAAATAAGATCTCAGTGAAAGTATATACATGGGCAATATATATAAACTAGTATTAGTTTAACTTTGGTTTAAAACTCTACTTTTTGTATTCTGCATAATTCAAAAGACTAATACAGTAATAAAAAACTACTATTAGTTTAAAAGTTAGTATTATTATAACTTTGGTTGTAAACTCACATTGTGTTCTCTGTATTATTTAAGAAATTAATGCATAAAATTATTGGTTTATATTTGTAATAAGGATATAATATTGTAATAGCAATAACTAAAAAGGATAAGGATAAAACTGTACACAAAATGTTTATACATTATTGAAATTAAGAAGGTAAAGTTAAAATTGGAGTGTGATAATATTTGGATGTTAAAAGTAAACACCATGGAAACCAAAAAGAAAATAGCTATAGAACATATAAATACAAACAAAAATACATGAGAAGGAAATTAAAACACAAACTGCAAAAAGCAGCTAAATATAAACAAGACAGTAACACAGGAAATGAAGGACAAAAAAAGCCATAAAGCTATACAGCTTATAGAAACACATAGCAGAATTACAGAAGTCTTGTCTTATTAGTTATTACTTTAAATATAAATGGATGGAATCTCTGGACAGAGATTGGCAGAACAGATTTTTAAAAATATGTCCTAACATATGTTTTCTACAAGACTCTCACTTTAGATCTAGAAACACAAATAAGTTTTGAGTGAAAGAATGGAGACAGATCTTTCACACAAATAGTAACAGGAAAGGGGGTGGCTACCCATAAGCCAGTCACAGAAAAACAAGTGCTGTATGATTCCACCAACATTAAATAAATAAGTGACAGACGCCTGCCTAGAAAGTAGAATGGTGGCTGCTAAGAGCTGAGGGAAGAGGGAATGGAGAGTTATTGTCCATGGAGCACAATCTCCTGCTTTGCAAGATGAAAAGAGACCTGGAGATGGCTAATGGCGACTTAATGCCACCGAACTGTACATCATAACCACGGTTAAAACAGTAACCTTTATGTTATGTGCACTTTACTATAATTTAAAATGTAAATTTAAAAATTTTATTTTTAAGGAATTAATAAAATGATAGAATGATGACGCCACAATCACTATTGGAGATTGCTAGCACCCACGTTTTGGCAATTGATAGAGATAAAAATAATAGACACAGAAAATGTGAACACTTTCACATTTAATAATTAATACCTATAGATACACCAATGACTGCAGAATGCACATTCTTCTTCAGTGCACATAGTACATTCAGCTAGACGACATGCTGGGTCGAAAAGTAAAACAAAAAATCCTAGATCTAATCTCTAAGTAGCTGTGCAAATTTGGGGCAAGAGATGTATCCATCTAAACCTCAATTTCTTCACTTATAAAATTCCTGTGTTACTGTGGGTTCAAAAGAAAGAAGTGAAAAGCATTAGCATCTGCCACAGATAGACTGCAACTGTGAAGGTTGTGCACAGCATCCTCGGTAAATAGAGTCCTGTTACTTGTGCAGTATGCAACCCGCTCAATGATACATGAGAACTTGCTGGTACTTAAAACATTTTAACAACAGAAAAGGAATAATGTTATCATATGGTGAAAAGGAAACATTTGTCTCCTCGTTTAGGGACTATGACTTCATGTCCAGTGCAAAACTAGGAAATAATAGTAATATGCTACACCTGACATTAACTTTTTCTAAGCTACTATGTACTTACCCATAACATCTGTATTTTACAACATTTTTTCAAAGCTCTCAAAATGTAAAGGTGATGTTTAAAGTTTCCAGTGGCAATATATTAAGGAACTAAATGTCCTACGTCCCAAGTTACTTTTTTTTTTAACTACAATAATGGACAAGATGATAGCAATGTTCCTTGTTCAGTATTACAAAAGGAAAACATGTTTAATGGTAAGATTAACTATAACATAATGTTGGATTTTTCATTTTCATTTCACATATGAACTGTGTGGCTCCTTCCTTACCTGATTTGTGTTTCAAATTTGTTGTCACCCCATCAAATTCGGATTTATCAATTTCCCATGCGAGAGGTAGCTTGCCCAAACTGTTGGATAAGTTTTCCAAGCTATTTTCTTCATTATAGATTATCTCTGATGTACTAGTTGGTATACCAATGTATTTTGATGAATTATTTCCAGTAGATAATGAGGTACTATCAGGGAGGCAAGAAGAGTGGGCTGGATTTGGAGTTTTGTAGATTGAGGTTGCCTGGTTGAGGAAGGCATAATCTGAACAGATGGCATAAATTTTCTCCCGAGTATGAGTCACTGGACAACTCCATGGATAATGACCATCTCCTTTGGGACCCAGGGGTGCTCCCGAGGCACTTGTGCAGAAAGATTTCACAGCACCATGTTGATTCTCTTCCTGAGACTTTCTCTCAGATTTGTGCTCACCATTTCCACAATCATTGGACCTTTCAGGTTCTACAATGTTAGGCATTGAATTCAACTGTAAAAGCTGCTGTCTCTAGGAAGAAGCTGTAATTCTCTTTTTCCTGAAAAAAATCTTTGGCAGCTGTTTACTACATTCTATAAAAACTTGAGAACAGAGAAATTGGATCCTAAGAAAAGAGGCAGGAAAAAGAATGATCAACAATCCACCAGACATTACAAATGGCAGTAAACATATCAAGTTTTATTCATATGCTTTCATTCAATACCTATTGAATTTATGAGCATATGCCTAGAATTATGACATAAACTATTTTATTTTAAAATTTAGCTTAAAATAAGATATTAGAATAACAAAAATACAAATAATGCAATTAAAAATGGGCAAAGTATCTAAATAGAGTCACTTTTCCAAGATTAATATCAAAAGGGCCAATGAGCAAGGAAAAGGCACTCAGCATCATTAGCCACCATGGAAATGCAGTGTAAAACCAGTGAGATACCGACCCAGATCCACTAGATCACTTAATTAAAAAGGCGGATAATAACAAAGATTGCCAAAATTGTGGAGAAACCAGGAACCATCATAAACTGCTAGCAGAAATGTACAATGAAAACAATACTTCAAACACTTAATCAGAGTTACCATATGGTCTAGAAATTTCACTCCTCCCAAGAAAAATGAAAACATACATCCACACGTGAATAGCAGCATTTCTCATAATAGCAAGAAAAGTGGAAGCAACCGAAAGGTCCATCAATTGACTAATGGATAAATGCAGTATATCCATGCAATTGAATATTATTTGGTAATAACAAGAAGTACTAACCTGTGATCTGACATGAATGAACTTTGCAAACATTAGGCTAAGTGAAAGAAGCTAGTCACAAAGGACCAGAGGCTATATAATTCTATTTACATAAAATTTCAGAAGAGGCAAATCTACAAGACAGTGTATGGATGAGTGGTTACCTTGGACTGGAGGGTTGGGCATGATGTCTTTTGGGAATAATGAAAATACTCTATAACAGATTGTGGTGAGATTATACTAAAAGCCATTAAGTGTACATTTTACTGTGTAGTGTAATGCACACACACTGTGTGGCAAGATTATGCTAACAGTATATAGACATAAAATGCACATGATGATAACAGTCATATTTAAATCAATGATATAGATTTTTAATTTTTAAAAGATTCTTTACCTGACTGCCCTCCACCGCAAAAAATAACTGTTCTCCAACCCAGGTGTTATTAACTTCTAGTCAGTCAGGGAAAAACTGGTTTTTAAGTCTAAACCGATTCCTTTGGGAAAGAAAATAGGAAAGGTCAAATAGCCACCAAGGGCATCTGAAGAAACTGAAGATTTACTTTAAAAGACACCCTTAACAAATTACAGCAGCACAGGCAATACAGGAGAGCATCCCGTGCAGGTGCCTACTGAGAAAGACCTGGTCTCTTGGAGCCATAGTGACTGGGCAGGACATAAGAGATTCAACCCACCAGGGGGCACCAGCCTGACCTCTAACAGTTAGCATCTCTGCCAATGTGCTTACTTTAAACACTAGAAATGAGAATAATTTTCATAGGTCACTGAAAATGAGTTCTATCAAAACTATCACACAAATGCTGAACAACACAAGCCTATGAACTAAGACTGTAAGTGGACATGACCCACACAGGAAACTCCAGGTTCTCCTGACCCTAAAAGAGAAGCTGGTACAGCATGTTCTTCATGGAATTTAGGGAAGAAGACTCCATATGAGGAGGACTGCACAGGTGTAAAGGTGCGGGATTATATCCTTTCCTTAGATCTCTCTCCTCATACCTTCAATAAGGTTTTTTTTATTGTTGTTGTTTTTAGTTTTGTGCAGCATATAGAGGTTTGCAAGAGCACTGGTTTGCTATGATCATCCCCTGGTGGTGGTTTCTCATGGAAACCTTCCACTTTCTTTTTGGTGAAGAAATTTTAGGAGCAGGTGTATTGCGTCTCCAGACAGATGCGTTTAAGCCTTCTCCTTGCTCCCCATTTTGTGGTAATGGTGACAGAGGCGGGGTGGGGGGAGATACAAAGGGAAGCATGGCGTCTGAGGTTTATAGACCAAACAGTCTTTTGCAAGGATTGATGTTCTCCACTTTTTAGCAGATGTCTTAGCATACATTTTCCACTTCCTATCTGTGATCCTCATTCTCTTCTTTAAAAGCCAGCATGGTGGAGAGGGGCAGCCATGTGTCCATGCTAAGGGAGGCTGTGCTACATGAGGATAAAAGAGAGCATATGGTCAAAACGGGGGAATGGGCAGAGGTTTCTGAAATCAGTCTGTAGAAGAAGATACCCATGTCAGACGCTGCCCCTTTCATATGAATCTCTAGAGCTTAGCTGCACTTTACCAGCTTCCTTCCTCTGGTTGAGTGAAATCTTTCCTGTGGGACCAGCTCATATATATAATTCCTTGATCAAAAACATACAAAAGTTAGGACTTATCTTCCTAGCAACAAAAGCCAAGAAAGAACATACCAGATGTAATAGTCTGGTTTTGTTTGATCACTGAAAAAGAACAATCTTGTTAGTGGAAGTTTTAGCCAAAAAAAAAGGTCATTAATATGAAGATGTATGTTATATTGATTGTCATTAAAAACCAAGGACATCAAAACCTTCCAATTTGAGCTATTGTTTATGTAAATGTCTTTGAAAATTTGTGTAATAGATAAGCAAGACATATTGCAAAAAAATTACAAAATGCCAAAAAAATTACAAAATGCCAAAAGATACTATGCAGAAAATGAAAATGATAAAAAAAAAAAAACCATGACCCAAACACTACTTATGTTTCTTTTCTTTCTGTGTCATGCCTGGTTGCATCTTTTCTCCCACCACAATAACAATTCAGAGGAATTTCTGGGATGGTGTCCTCAGTACTTTACTCAGACTCTGATTTTCTTAAAGAGAACTAAGCACAATTTGTTACTGATAAAGAATCATTACAGGCATGGAACATTCTACTAGATTATAATACTGAAGTATAGACTAGATATTGTCCCTCTACTTGGCCTGCAGCTGTCTGTTTTGTCACATCTTGTACCTCCTTTTGTCTGTTTATAAACCATACCCAACTCCCTGCTACCCACCCTTCTGAACTGTCATTTGTGATCCGACTTGTACATGAACATTAGAAAATAAATTTGCTCTGTTTACATGCTCATAGAGCTTCTCTCCCTAAAGCCCTCAGCTGTTAGAACAAAAGACCAATCTTCATCTGGCCCCAAATCTCTTGCTTTAACTGCCCCTCATCCCACTTGCCCCCTCCCCTCCTTCCACAGTACTCTTGGTCCTCTGAATGCTATCCTCTCCCATCCATCCTCCATACTAATTAATTCTCATTCATCTTTCAAATGTCTGCTGAAATGTCACTTTCTGGGGAAGCTTTCTTTGCTCTTCAAATTGGGCCAAGGCACCCATGCACCTTTCTTGCACAGGTCTTTCCACAGTATAATTTTACATGTACATTTGTAAGTATGTTTGTGCATGTTTATGTTTTTATACAATAAATGTCTGCTTTTCACAAGTCGGCTTTCCTCATGACTGTGTATCACCAGGGTCTAGCAGCAGCAGAAGACAGATCCAACAAATATTTTTGCAAACTATGTCCCTCATTTTGATTAACCAAGGTTTCCTCATTCAGGTGAGGCGTTGCTATGCTAAGAGGTACTAACAAAAATAAGTGTGAGCCTAAAGCTCAACAATTTATTCACGATATCATCTTTCAAGTAACAGAAGCACTGTTTAACTGTGCGAAGCAAAATTTTATTAAATGATAAACTTTGAATGCACCTCTAGGGTAAGGACTTGTGAAAGTCATTGGAACAGCCTGTTCTGTAAAACAAACATACCATTTGTAAAGCCAATATTCATCGCCTAATTTATGCTCTTTTCAGATTATATTTTAAGGCTGTATTCTTCAGTATCAAGTTTATTTGGGAACGAAACACCTTTTTAAAATCCCAGTAAAGCCTTCCACAGATGACAAGCACGATGATCTATATTATGCATAGAAGGGAACTGAGACGCAGTAACTGACTTGCTAAAGGTTCAACGCGAGCTGGGGGAGAAGCGCTAAAGACCCCCAGCCTTGTCTCCATCCTCCCCAGCCAGAGCCCTTCCCACTCCTCCAGGGTCCCTAGTCTCCACCATCAAACCCGACCCCTCCCCAGAGCAGCCGGCGGCCTACCAAAGGATACCGGTTCCTTCAGCGCTAGGCGCCCACCTCCACCCGGGCTCCGGGGAGGCCAGGACAGTCTCCACCGCCTCGGCTGCGAGGCTGGCGGCGCAACGGAGCTCGGAGGCCGCCGGGGCTGAGGCGACTGTCGCGCAGGCCGGTCCCCGGCGCGCAGAGCCAGGAGTGCGGGGACGGCACTCGTGGAGACGAAGGAGCCCCGCTGCGCCCCCTGCTCGCCACCCTCCCGCCGCCGCCACCGGTCCCGCGAGCGCCGTGAGCCTCCGAGGGCCGGGCGTCCCCAGTCCTCAAACCGGCCGAGGACAGCTTGGGCCTCCTGACGCTGTCCCCGCCCTCCTTCTCCCATTCCCGGGCCGGAAGACAGGGTTCGCCGCGAGGGGGAGCGCGAGGAGGCCAGAAGGTTACCGCTTGGAACCTGCCGGGGGACCCAGGCTTGCTCTAGTGCTAAAAGCCCAGTGCGGGTGGACACGGGCAGTTACTGCCCCGGAATCCCGGCTCTTGAAGGAAGGAGCTGATATCATTCATCATGGCAATGGCGGAAAATAGGAAAGAACCACCAGGCCTTGACCCCGACCGGGCCCGGTTTGGCTCCCTGAGCATCCCGGCGGTCTGGGTTTTCGGTGTCCCTGGCAAGGTCCAGGGAAGGAGAGAGGCAGAGAAGAGGCTCGTGCTCCGGCCCCCCAGCTGCCGGTCAGGCGCCCGGGGGGGCCGCGGCCGCGATCTTTCCTGGGTCGGCCCTGACCGGTGTGCCAGCGCGCAGAGGGAGGGGACGGCCACTAAGCACCAGAGGCTCGGGGTGGGCCGAGCATAGCGTGGAGACGGGCGCCTGGATAGGAGCCACCGCCCCCGACGTCCACCGGGACGCCGCCAAATCGAGCTTTGTCCCCGAGAGGAATCGCCCTTTCTATCCCTGACACTTTTTTCCCTTTCATTGAGAACCAACTCTTCGCTCTACTCCTTCGTAGGAAGATGGGCATCTATGGAGTGACCTCCATTAGGACGCGACAGGGCTCCAGGGGGGCGAGGATCCCCCGAGCCCAGGCATCCTTGGAGACGCCGAGGGCACGCGGGCTGCAACAGGCCCGGGGGCACCGCGGAGGGCTCAGTGCGCAGGGCCACAGTTGATGGTCCCCTCAGCCCGGGCTCACCACCCGGGGTACCTCAGGCCTGGCCTGTCCGGCAGGGTCGGGTCGCTGCGGCCGTGGTGGAACCCGACACCAAACCAGGATCCCAGCTTCCAGCGCGCCGCCCGCGACGCGCATTGAGTTACCCTGGAGCTGTCCTCTCCAGTCCCATCCGAGCGCGCTGGGGCCGCGCTCTGGACTGCTGCACCCGGCGATGGGTTGTTGGATATCATTGACAACACCTCCCTTTCTTCCTTTTATACCTGCCCTTTGCACGTGCGGAGGATACGGTGACCAAAATAATTTTTTAAATCTTAGTTGTGACTCCAGACCCCGGTGTCCCTCTATTAGGCATTTGAAGTATTTATTTGTTTCCAGAAAGCAGTGATCAAAAGTAAATAGATGCATAAGGGATTTTTTTTTTTTAAGAAAGGGGGAAAAAAGGAGGAGGAGAGGAAACCTAGCAGGATTTCCGCTAGTCATGCAACGAACTACATATCCCAGGGAGCGCAGGGCGCGGGGACGCGTGTCCACCCTGCTATCCACTAGCAGAAGGTCTTACTTAGCCTGGCGGACACACAGGCCAATCCCGTTGCCTTGCACCTTGGCTGGAACCTAAGAAGGATTCGCCCCCAGATGATGGTCCAGTGGCTGCAGTAACACAAGTTCATCATTGTCCCGAGTTAGAGGAGCGGCGCGGGTCTTGCCCGGTTCTGCAGAACGACTGGTATCCTTCACCGCGACATGCCAACGCTCGGGTTGTGACATTCCTGGGGACAGTGGAGAGCCGCGAGCCTGCCCTGCACTCCAAAGCAACACTTTTTGGAGCCGTGTTTGCTGCTGTGACCAGCCACCGTGCCCCTGGCGAAGCCTCAGCTGGTTCCGTCCACTTCCTGCACGCCTTCCGTGGGTTTGTCCGTGGATCCTTTGGAGATCCATCTTGTAAATGTTCAGCATTTTGCTGCTTGCCTGCTTTTTTCTGGGAACTGTTCCAGCGCTTGCCGAGACTGGCGGAGAGAGGCGACTGAGCCCAGAGAAGAGCGAAATATGGGGACCCGGGCTAAAAGCAGACGTCGTCCTTCCCGCCCGCTACTTCTACATTCAGGCGGTGGATCGGTCAGGGGATCCGTAAGTCGAGAAACGACTCCTTGACTGTTGGGGGTTGCAGTGGAAAAAAACTGTTTCTTCTTTCAACTTTTATCTGCTTTAAGACTCGTTTCTCCAAAGCAGTTTGCATTCCAGGGCATCTGGGTGCTAACCACATCTGGTTGTAACTGGCTGCTCAGCCCCAACTTTTTATTTTTTCTGTAGCTTTAGAAATAATTCTGAAATATATATTAGTTGTGTTATATTATATTGCATAATATCATGACAGCTCTTCCTTTGGCTGTTTTGATGACTGAGTATCCAGGCAAGGCAAAGCTCCTGCACTATTTCTAGGTACCTTAGCCATAACTGTTGTAAGGAATTGAAGCCTGGTTGTTAAGAAACTTGATCGGCTTCATTTTTCTCTGGCACCACTCTCATTTTCAGGTAGACATCTGCAGGTAAGCATACTTTGAAACTCAAGAAAAAATAAAATATTACTTAAAACTTTAAAGTTTGCCAGGCGCCGGTGACTCACGCTTGTAATCCTAGCTCAGATCAGTAGAATCCTGGTTCGAAGCCAGCCCTGGTAAATAGTTCCCGAGACGCTACCTCGAAAAAAAACCCATCACAAAAAAGGGCTGGTGAAATGGCTCACGGTGTAGGTTCTGAGTTCAAATCCTAGTTTCGCGGAAAAAAAAACTTCAAAGTTTGAAGGGAAAGTATGAAACTATGACTCCTGTAAAACTGAACAAATGTTTATTTCATTCCAGTGGAGTCAGTGCATTAACATTACACCGAAATTTATTTTTATAATGCATATACTCCTTCCTGAATGGTTGTCATTATTTTTGGTCGATGCTAATCATGTATATTTTATAGGGAAAAAAATCTTGGGGATAAAATGTTTGCCAGAGCAAAGAAAAGGAAGGTTGGAAATTTTGTCATTTGACTTTCAATAGCACAGGTGGGAAAACAGTACCATCTTAACAGCCCTTGCACCAGAACACTTTTGCCACTAATAGGAGAGATCACCTACTTTGATTTTGCCCTTGGCTGAGCACAATTTGATTGAGACTACTGTTAATTGTAAGAATCGTTGAGCAAATTTTTAAAATAAGGTCATCTTTGGAAACACTATTTGATCACAGATTTCCAGAAGTGATGGGCAGGAGTAAATCATAGATCCATAGGAGTATTTTTATGCATGGAATTTATAAATATTCCTATGCTCACATAGATTAGTAGTCTTAACATATCTACCCGCAGCTGTGTAATGAATGTATTTTGTTATTTGGGCCATTATCTCTCCCTCTCTCTCTCTCTCTCTCTACCTCTCTCTAACATTTGATCCATCATATTCATTCTGGTACTAAAAGCCTAAGAAAGAAGTTAGAGAAAACAGGTGAAGTGTAAGTATTACGCATTTCTTCCGTAACTAATCTTCATTTCTCATCACAGATTCACATCTTCTCCGGGGGAAAAGGTGTTCCAGGTTAAAATCTCAGCACCTGATGAGCAGTTCACTAGAGTTGGAGTCCAGGTTTTAGACCGGAAGGATGGATCCTTCATAGTAAGATACAGAATGTATGCAAGCTACAAAAATCTGAAGGTGGAAGTAAAATGCCAAGGTCAACATGTGGCCAGCTCTCCATACATTTTAAGAGGTATTTTGCGCCATGATTTTATTACAGTAGTAGTTGAATACAATGGCACATGCCATTCCACCAATAAAAACAACAGCACAATTTTTTTCACTTGAAAGAAAATAATAGATGCTTCCTATATAAATGCTAAATTAGGAGTTCTAATAAAAGAAATTCATGATTTGAATGGAAATTATAACTCACTAAGGAGCAAGGAACATGTTACCAGAGAATTTGTTCCCTAAAGTCACAATATTAAATGAGAACAATCGAGTATGTAACCATATGTGATGCTTTTGTTTGTTTGTTTGTTTGAGACAAGGTTTCTTTATGTAGCCCAGACTGCCCTTGAACTTGTGTTTCTTCTGGCTCCTCTTCCCAAGTGTTGGTATTACAGGCACGCACCACAGTACCCAGCAGATACTTTCTTAATTCGTGATATAAGACTTAAGTAACTGAGAAGAGTTACTGAAATTTGGTAAACAACTTAGGCAAGGTAGAAGGATTGAAGCAGTGAGGAGGGTTGACTATTGTTTTTTGTTCTCATTCCCTTACATTTTTCCAGAGAATTTCTGTGGTGTTTTCTTAAGTAGGATGAAAGTACAGCTTTGTTACCTAGGGTCATCTCCTTCCCTTCCAGGGGAGACAGAGCCCCAAGAAAGTATGGAAGCTGTATATGCACAAGGGCACATCCAAGAAAGATAAAGGTTTTTTTAAGGGTCCTTTCCTTTCCTGCATTCCACCAGGACCCCATGACACAGTTGAACCTGAAAAACCTTAAGAAATATTCTGTTGTCACCTACTGTCCAGTCAGGTGGGAGTCTGAGGACTGCAGAAAGTAATAACGGTAAAAATCTCAGTTGAGATTCTGCCATGTAATCTTAGTATTATTTTCTAAAAATTTATATATGACTAATTCATTATAAAATTTATAGTACTACCTTTGTTTGTTTTTCTTTCTTTTTCTTCTTTTTGGTTTTTAAGACAGGGTCTGACCGTACCCCAGGCTAGTTTCAAGTTCATGACGATCCTGCCTTGGCCTCCCAAGTACTGGGATTATAGGAGTGCACAACCATGCTCAACACCTTTTCTTCTATGGATTTCTTTTTTAAAAATTCCTAATCGTCTTTCTCTGTTTACTCTTGTTGTTACTGACGATGATTTGGTTTACCCACTGGGAAAGTAGCCTAGTCACTTTAAGGACCAGTTTGTATCACAGACCATTGAGATATTAATTAGACTTACTTTTGTCCTTCATTGACACAGGTGTATTCCTCTAATATTCTTTTGCCAATATTTGATGATTCTTGAGTACACCAAACATACAGAGTAATGAACTATAATATCCACTTGGAGGATAAAGTAGTACCCACTGGCTTCCTTTGAACTCATGCATATTGTCCCGGAATATGAAAATATCACAAGACTTCACTGTGAAGAGCTCTCAGGATAGAAGGCTGACTTACTCATAAAGCCCCAGGGTAATAAACATGTATTTGCTTTAAAATAGGTTTTCAATCAAAATGCCCTTCCTAACCAAAGTAGTCAGAATTCATGAAGCCCATGCTTTAGGAATCTGTTACATGTTTTAATTGCTGAGTAAAATTTTTACCATTGTACTTTGTTATTTTTATATATAGGGCCAGTTTACCATGAGAACTGTGACTGTCCTTTGGAAGATAGTACAGCCTGGCTAAGGGAGATGAGCTGCCCAGAAACCATTACTCAGATTCAGAAAGATCTGGCACAGTTCCCTACTGTTGACCCTGAAAAGATTGCAGCAGAAATCCCAAAAAGATTTGGACAGAGGCAGAGCCTGTGTCACTACACCATAAAGGACAACAAGGTACAACAACCACATGGTTGAAGTTTGCTTGTTTTTCTGATTTTGTTTTGACCATTTGGCTACAAATAGCTACCTCGTTTTCTTACGCATCATCTAATAGGAATCATTGTGACCAGCTTTTCCTCAGTGAAGTCTGCTGGTACTTTTAGACTAACGTAGTACATGTCAAACTCTCTTCTAGGTTTATATCAAGACTCATGGTGAGCATGTAGGTTTTAGAATTTTCATGGATGCCATCCTACTTTCTTTGACTCGAAAGGTAAGTAAATTTTTTCTCTGAGTTGCCATAGGTGATGGTAACCCAGGTTTTGCAATATAATTTTTCAAAATGAAACTTACAACATAAGAGGGGTCTTCTATTCTGGAGCCTTCTATAATACTGTTCTGTCATATATGGTACCTGGATTAGTTTTCAGGGCTCCTATAACAAAGTACTGCAGCTGAGTGACTTAAAACAACAAAAATTTATTCTCATGGTTCTAGCCAGGCTGTGTTCCTTCTGAGCTTCTGGTAGCATAATTCTCTGCCTCTTCCTGGCTTCTGGTGCTGGCTATCAAGCCTTGGTGTTCCCTGACTTGCAGCTGCATGCTTCTGATCTCTGCCTCTCATCACATGGCATCCTAAGGAGAAGGATCCTAGCACTAAGCATCCTAGTTGCATTGTCTCAATGGCCCACCCTACTCCAGTGTGACCCCATCTTAACTAATTATATCTATGATGACCCAATTTCCACATGAGGTCATTCTGACATCCTAAGGTTAAAGTCTTAAGCGTATCTTCTTTAAGCAAAACAAAAATCATGTCATAACCATGCCTTATAGAGAAAAGAAAATGCCTTATAGTAAAATTATTTTGATATTAAACTTTTAAGACTTTAAGTCCAATGAAGACTTTCCTTACACTAAATCCGGTTCCTTGGTGTAATGTGTTATAGTCAGGTTCAGGTGGAATACTTCAAAAGTAATATTAAAATGCCAATATGAAAAACTGTACCAGCTTTATCATTGTGTATTTATTTATAATCTATTATAAGTTTATTTATCTATTATTTACTTATTGAATAATGTGTGCATATCTTGATAGAATTACTCATGGAAAAACGATAGTACCTCTCAAGATTGCAAAGCATTTAAATCAGTTAATTCTGAATGTAGCTAGTTACTTGGCACCAATATTATGCCTCCTTTATGCTAAGACATCAGGATTTTGGCATATACTTCCTGCTTATCTGTGTCAATGCATAGACAACCTTAGCTAAACAACACAGTTCTTATCTGAAATATACACAAATATGCATGTATGTAGTATATTTGCTAGTACTATAAGCATTTTCCATGGCTAATAAAGCAAGTTTTTTCAAAGAGTTCTTACCATTTGTCAGTGGAGGGCACATGGCTTAGGAGTTATTCTGCTAGGCTTTATGTTGAACTTCCTGAATTCAAATCCTGATCCTACCACCTCCCTCTTGTATTTTTCTTTTTTTTAATGGAAGCATTTGGCTCGTTAACAATAGAGTTTGAGTTCCATGTGCTGTATTTTCCAATGATTGTCTTTCTGTCTTTGATCACATTACTCTCCTAGCACTATTACAACAGAAGTTATCTTTGGCATCTCATCCTTTTTGTAGTTAAGTCTGTTGGCCAATTGGCCAATTTGGACACTTCAGAAATGAAACATAGGATGCTTATACCTGTGACCATCTTCTGAAAAGCTACCTACTATTCAAACTGAAATAACTATCATTGCCTAAAGCTTGTAAGGTTGGCCTTGCATTCTGTGCAATTGCTAAATTTAATTGATAAAAATAGGTAAGATGCAATGTAAGGACTCTGAATAAGCTCTTTGTTTTCTTTTCTCTAGGTGAAGATGCCGGATGTGGAATTTTTTGTTAATTTGGGAGACTGGCCTTTGGAAAAAAAGAAATCCAATTCAAACATCCATCCAATCTTTTCCTGGTGTGGCTCCACAGATTCCAAGGATATCGTGATGCCCACCTATGACTTGACCGACTCTGTTCTAGAAACCATGGGCCGGTGAGAGACGGGTCAGGGTTGACTCAGAGCCTTGGTTTTGCTCACTTTTATGAGTTCTTTTCCATCTGCCTTTGTGATTTGATGTTTTGGGAAGAAGACTTGTCGTGCTTTCTGTCTTCTAGCGTGAGTCTGGATATGATGTCTGTGCAAGCCAACACGGGGCCTCCTTGGGAAAGTAAGAACTCTACAGCTGTCTGGAGGGGGCGAGACAGCCGCAAAGAGAGACTCGAGCTGGTGAAACTCAGTAGAAAACACCCAGAGCTCATCGATGCTGCTTTCACCAACTTCTTTTTCTTTAAGCATGATGAGAGCCTGTACGGTCCCATTGTGAAACACATCTCGTTTTTTGATTTCTTCAAGGTATGACATCATCTGCAGCCAGTCTTTTCTACTTTTCAGTTTATACATGAATAGTGCTATGGGAAAGGGAAGTTGAAGCCTGCAAATTATAGGGAATGGGAGAAGTGAGCACAACCTGTAGCGAGTACCAAGGCCTGGAGATGCTGGGGACTAATTCAGGCAGCCTGGATCAGTATTTACCACTCAGTCCTCACGCTGAATATGCACCAAGGGAGCTTGAAGCCTGGGAAGAGATACAATTTTTTTTTTTCCAGCTAACCCTTAAGATAAGCAGATGTCAGCTCAAATCCTTTTTTTTAAATTAATAAATGCTTGTAAGTTATTTTACAAATGCTTCTCACCAGAAACTCAGCATGGCAACAAAGAAGATAAAAACCATGTGTCTCTTTATCAGACCTTCTGGTAAGCGATAATTTGAAACCCATCCACATGTTCTGCCTAGAAACTCTGGGGATGAGGGGTGGCTTTCTGTGTCTTGAATGTGAATTGCTCATGTTTCCCAGGGGTAATCCTTTTTTCTGACATCTCCCTTGTGCATACTGCCCTGCCCTGTAAATCACAGGGTGGTTTCTGAAAGTGAAGAGAAAGATGGGCAAAAGATGTCCAGAATATGAGGAAAGACCAAGTGAGCTCTGTCTGTCCTGTGAATGGCCAGGTTTTCTTTTTATGGGTTACATGGAGGTAGATCAACCTAAAGGATGCTATAAGTTCAGTTGTCAGTGTTTTTTCCATCTGTGTATCTGAAATATTTTTTAAAGGAGTAATTATAACTAAAGGCCATCGCTCCTTAAAGGTGTTATGTCATGTCTTGACTTTATTCCTACCTGTTGAATTTTCTACAACTACAGCAATTGATTTCCATGATTCTGTAAAGATTTTTATTCAGATCTGTTCTTGTCCCAGAGTTTATTAAGGTCCTTAAGGTAATGTGATTCTGTACTGTTTAAAAAATATGGTTAACAGGGTACAGAATGTGCCATCAGTAGGAGCACATGTGCAATCAGTAAAGAAGTAAAAGGGCTGAAGAAGTTTACCTACCTAGCAAGTGTGAGGCCCTGAGTTCAAACCCCAGCACCACCCCCAAAGGAAAAAAAAAATACTGAAAAACAAAAGAGTAGAGGAATTGCAATGTCATAAATAAATCTAGCTTTCCTGATTATTGTAGCCTTAGGACAGCCATTTTATGATTTTATTAGCTGCATCAACACCAGATTTGTTGCTACTTTATGAAATTTAGGACTTTATCAAAATGAACATTTAGCTCAAGGTCAGCATAGTATGTAATTGCATTTACTAAATGGTGAAGGCAGAAGGCAAAATGTGGCCAGTTTGTGTCTGATGATGACATGTCTGATGATGTGTGGAATGGGGAGGAGAGAGAAAATGAGAAATAGGATCATGGATACTCATACTCTACTTATGCTCTTTTGCAGCATAAGTATCAAATAAATATCGATGGCACTGTAGCAGCGTATCGCTTGCCCTATCTCCTGGTTGGTGACAGTGTTGTGCTGAAGCAAGACTCCATCTACTATGAACACTTTTACAATGAGCTGCAGCCCTGGAAACACTACATTCCAGTTAAAAGCAACCTGAGCGATCTGCTGGAAAAACTTCAGTGGGCAAAAGATCATGACGAAGAGGTAAGGTCAGTCTCCTAGAGGGTTACTCCCACTTGCACCCCAGCATCACAGGTGTGTTTGAAATGTCTTTTTGCCTGGAGAGTGTTCAGAATGCTTAGATCCAGCTTTTATGTGGGATGCTTCCTGCTCGTAGATAGTGGAGCAGTTGCTCTTAAAGTGAACACAGCCGTAGTGAATTGAAGTAGCCATGATGCGAAACAAAAGCTGAGCCTCTCTCAGTCAGGTTGGGCTGAGACACAAGTGCTGCTTCTGCTATCAATGTGAGAGTTAAAATAGCCTGTCTGGCAAGAGATGTTATCAACTGTGCTGTGGAGTAAAATGAGGGGTTACTTGAACAAGCCTCAAGTTAATTGACTGCTGAAAACTGTGAAGGCAGTGCATTGATCTTATATTTGCTTTGTAACATCATTATTGCTTTCCTTGATGGGTGTCTTCTCTCTCTCTAAGAGAGGTTTAGTTCTAGGATGCCCAAAATGACCTACTCACACTTTCAAGTCTTGAAAACCTCTCTTTGATTTGAACAAACATGTTCTGTTTGTTCTACCCACAATGTTTTTTTCTGCTGTTTCTCACCATATGTGACTCTGAGGATCTGTTTGCATATGTCTACATGGTAAAAATGTTCCATTAAAGGATTTTTTTTTATTCCCATAGGCAAAGAAGATAGCAAAAGCAGGACAAGAATTTGCAAGAAATAATCTTATGGGAGATGACATATTCTGTTACTATTTCAAGCTTTTCCAGGTTTGTATTTCCAAGAAAATAGTCATGTACGTTATAATTGGACATGTCGGAGGCAAATAAAATTTCACTTAATGATTTCTAAAGGTATATTAATATAAGGATATATATACATATTCCTTTTAAAGCTTCTATAAGTAAATCAGCATAAGGAGATAACATGTACTTCTTTGCATGTTAAATAACCGAACAAATATTAAATAATAAGAAGTAGTAGAAAGCCAAGGACGAGCTGATACAGAATGTTACAACATCAAGTGAAAATATTAGAACTATGTGGTGTGTGCTTAGGAAATTGGCTTCCAATCCTGCAGAAGTTACTATACGTGGATTTGTATTGTCTTTAATATTATATTGCTACTGCCTTCCTATTTCTCTGTGTAAGCAGTGCAAAGTATTTTTGGGTCTCATATCTTGACTCTACATGAGCATGACTGCTGGAAATTATTTCCATAGACCCAAGCATTTAGGAATTGTAATCAAAGCATCTCTGACAATTTAAAAGGCTCATTTTTTTAAGTGCAGCAGATAACAAATGCTAATAATAGTACAGGAGTTATATTAAGATTTCTATCTCAGAATTAGAGATATTGAGCCCCATATTGTAGGCTCCACCACAAAACAAAGTTGGTCTGTTTCTGGTGTGTCCTGGCCCCTGCTGTTTTGTAACCTCCCTAAGAGATGACAAAGGGATGCAGAGGGTGAGATGTGCAAAATGAATGAACTAGGGGGATTTACTGTGTGAATTTCTAAAGATCCACTGGATGGTATTCATTCATGCAGCTAATATGTAACATCAATGCTTAGCACAGTACCTATCCCAGAATAAGAACAAAATCAATGAAGAGGATGACCAAGGCTTGTGCCAGCCTTGGTGGAGAGGCAGAAATAGTGTCTGTCCTCAAATTCTCATTCAGGGATGTGCAAAATTATTTTCACTATAAGGCAAAAGGTGATTAAAGAAAAAAAGCAGTATTATGTAGGAAGTAGAGGTCTGTTAGGGATGTACGGTCAGTGTTCACAGGACAGCCAGGACACAGAAGTTCTGTGACTCAGCATTTAAGACAGATGTGGAGGACTCTGTACATCACAATTTTGATATACACTGAATTAAATGAGTCTTGGACTTGTAAATTCCAATGTCTCATTTGGTGAATGTATTTGAAGTGCTGCATAAGGAATGCTTTCGAATTGTTAACAGGAATATGCCAATTTGCAAGTGAATGAGCCCCAAATCCGAGAGGGGATGAAGAGGGTAGAACCACAGACTGAGGATGACCTGTTTCCTTGCACGTGCCATAGGAAGAAGGTAACAGAACTGACCTGCTGGCCAGTGTCAGCTTTGCATTCATTCCTCTACTCAATGCATCAGGCAGCAAATGATCGAGTTCCTCCTGATGCACCAGACAGACAGATGTAGTCAATTTTAACAATGTACAAGAAAGGTGCTAAAATGCTGTTAAGTGAGAAGACAGAGTAGCTCCTTGGCGAAGCTGTGGGAAGTCTCTTTTAACATGTGAATCCAGATCACCTGGCTTTGAATAAATGTTGGCAATTTACTTCCACATGAATTATCTGATGTCTTTATCTCCCCATGAGATAGGTTTGACAGGGTTCATCATACCAAGGTAGAGATGTTGTGAGGTAGAGACCTCTCACAACAATGAGAGGTCCCATTATAAAATTACTCATTTCAAAGCAACTGCTGTTGATACCAGTACAGGATGACTTCACTTATAAAAGTCAGATTCATAAACATACCTGTGAGGCTAACAATGACCTTAAATGTCATGCAGTCATTACCTTCATCTTATGGCAACTAGCCTAAAGAAGAATAGTCTAGCTCAAAATCACCTAGCTGGATTATAGCAAAGCAAACATCAGTGTCTGATGATCAGCTGTGTGTAACACACAGTGTGGCAGAGGTGTGTTGTTTTGACTATAATCAGATTTCCTGTTTGAAGGTATAGAGATTGCATAAGCCACATGTATGTGTGTGTGTGTAAATACACTAGCTTAAGTGGCATCATCGTCTTTCTGAATGTACAAACTCAAAATTGTGGTGTGGTGACCACAGATAAGAGAAGGAAGACCTAGTGATCATTGTCTACCTCTTAAAGCATTTAAAAGGAGTAAGGCAACCTCTGGCCCCGTGATGTGATAGCTCACCTGAGCTCGGTGATTGTTAAATACTCAGGAGTTTTGCATACTGGTTATTTTTGGGAACTTGGAATTGGCCTGACAGGAGTGTATATACCATGACAGGCAGCACAGACTACCAATAAGAATTTGCGTTGTTTTGTTTCTGTCCTTGTCTTTTGGAGAACTGATTTACGATTACATCATCAGTGTTAACAATGAAATCACCTTAAAGCCCATGACAAACCAGGAATTGCCAGATTAAAAGTTACCCCCACCAGCTTTGTGATTTAATAACTCACTTTGGCCCTGTGGGAGACCAGGCCTTTCTCCACTCCTGCTTAATTTTGTTTTCGAGTGATTCAGAGGAGGAACCAAGTCATAGGGACAGGATGAGAGCGCTGTCTGTTTCTTGTTCTTTGGACACTCCAGCTGTTACTAATACTGTTTGTAACACAAGAGCTTTGTGGTAACACAGACCCATGAATGTTTGGGGTACCTGTCAGTACCCCAAACAACATTGTGAACCACAATGTGATTTTCCCCTTGGGTGATTATGATCCTCCAGAAATAGTTGTGGGCCCTAAAAGCATCTAGCAGCAACTTGGCTTTTTTGCCTACATAATTAAGGGAAAATAATTGACTGGTTTGAGTCTTGTGGACTCAGATAAGACTTCCTGATGGCTCTAAATATTTTGCTTCTTAATTGCAGACCAAAGATGAACTCTGATATGCAAAATACCTTCCATTCAAATAATGGTGCTCTGAAGACTCTTAACAGAAAAGAAGAATATTTTTAAGTATTAATTCCACAGACAATATAAAATCTACTGTGTGTTTGTTTGCATTGTCAAGGTGTTTCTACTTGTGCAGTATTCCCATGACTGTCTTTTATGGCACATTTTTAGAATTTTATAATAAAACCACCTTTATTTTAAAGGTCTATGTTGTGCTGTTTATTAGCTATGTTTAAAACATGAAGAAGAAAAAGAAATGTCTGAGTCTTTTATTCAAGCAGCCTATTGACCACCTGCCCTGACTTCATTTACATGACTAACCAACAAAACTCTTAATTAAACCATAATTATTTTGGATACACTCACTGAGGCCAAACCTCTTCCTAACTTCATCGTCCAATTCTTCGTCTGGCCTGTGCCTGCATCTTTTTTATTTGGTGGTACCAGGGTTTGAACTCAGGGCTTTACCCTTGATAGGAAGGTGCTTTACTGTTTGAGGCAAGCCTTCAGCTATAAGTAGGTTTACTTTTTGTCGTTGGTGGTGGTGGGACTGGAGTCTGAACTCACAGCTTCTCACTTACAAAGCAGGCACTCTACCACTTGCATCTTTAGTCAAATCCCTCTAGTCCCTCTGCTTGCATCTTTAGTCAAATTTCTTCCCAATGTGGAACCTGAGGTTTGGCAGAACCAGTCCTATTACTGTTTGTTCTGTTTCATTCTCCCTGGTATTTGCTTTCCCCTTGGTCTAGAGACCATCACCTACTCTTCCTCCAGCTCAGATCCCCTTCAGTGCTCATTTCGGGAATCTGGCATTGCCTCCTTTGAATCTGCAGCCCCCTACATGGTTGTATCATGTTTACCCAACTCCTCAGTGATCGTAGATTGTCTCTCTCACACCCCATGTTTTGAGCAACCTGACTGCAGATATCATGCTTTTCTTGTAAGTATTACTAGGGCCTAACAGATATTAAGTGAGGGAATGAATGAGTGAAAACCACTTTGAAATGCAGTTGAAAGAACTAAAAAGGAGGTGGGTGTGGTGGTGTATGTCTGTAATACCAGCACTGAAGAGGCTGAGGCAGGAGGTTGATTTGTTCATGGCCAGCCTGGCAGAAAAGGAAGGGAAAGGAGGAGGAAGGAAGGGAGAGGGGATGGGAGCAAGAGAGAAGGAAAAGAAGTGAAGATGGAAGGAAGAAACCCCAACATATTCCTTTACCAGTCTTCTTCCTACCCATCTCCTAGTTCATCTTCTACACACTTTTTAAACTGTGAAATCTATATACAGAATACAAAACATACCTATGGTTTAAAAATAATTATAAGAAGGCATCCACGTAGCCAGTGTGAAGATTCTTTGTCTAAACTTTAGCCAGGCTCTTCACCCTTCTCCTGGGCCCATCTATGCACTTCCTTGTAAAATCCAGTTTTAGTAAGAACCCTGCTAAGTCAGTTTAAAAAAACCTCCCATTCTTCATATCTGATGACTCGTGTTCTTCATCCTGCGCTGTCCCCAGGGACAACCAACCTGTTTTTCACAAAAAATCCTGTCCCATCTGTTTTACCAGAATCTCCCTCTCCCACTAAGTAATTGTTTATCTGAGGCTGCTGGCCCTGCCCTTGACTGTAAATGCCCACTTGACCATATATGTACACTGATTTCTCTTTTCCTCTACTATAACAGTCTTGAATAACCTGTTTTTAACCACGTTAATTACTGTCCAGCTCTGGCTTTTCTTTGGCATTCGCACTTGTATTTCGAAGTGTCCTGCAAGCCTCTTCCTGTCACAGTCCCTTCTCAGCTCCCAGTAAGCACTGTTGTGATGGTTGGGGTCATCTTTACCTTGCTTTTACTTATGCTTTCACTGCCTACATGTACCCCCGAGCAACCTAACTTACTATTGCCTGTTTTGAAACTGATATAAACAGTGACATACCAAATGTGTTTTTCTTCTTACTTGCCTGTTGGGGCACGTAGTGGTACTTTATGTATTTTGATAGATTGACAATAATTCACCATATGAGTAGGATTGCTTTATTTTACTATTCCATTGTTGATGGACTTGACTCTTACCATTTTTTGGCAATTCCAATCAATAGGACAATGAACATTCTCATTCATATTTCTTGGCTACATTTGCTTTGAAGTGGAGTTACAAGTTATAGATAATATACATGTTCAATCGTACTTCCAAATTGATTTTCCCAATTGGTGCTCTCTCCAGGGGTATATGGAGTTCCAATTGCTTTACTTCCTTGTTAATATTTGATATTATCATACTTTAAAATTTTCAGACAATCTGGTACAAAATGGTAGTATTATGTTTTGATTTTTATTTCTGATAACTAATGAGGCTGGTCATCTTTTATATGGTTATGAGCCATTTGTGTTGCTTTTCTTGTTAGATGTTATCCCTTTTCTTGGCTCATTTTAATAATAAGTTGTTTGATTTCCTAATAAATTCACAGAAGCATATTTTGGAACTAGTGCTTTGTCGGCTGTATATGCTGCATAATGCCTACGTTATGACCCCTCTTAGACTCACTACAGTGTCTACTGATGCTCAGAGACCATGACTTTAGTACAGGATATCTCAATCTTCACTCTAAGGCTAGTACTTCTGGTGTTTTGTGTAAGAAATCTTTCCTTGTTCCAGGTCACAAAAACCAGAGTCCTTTGCTGTCTTCTATATGAGTTTCCTAGGGCTGGGTGTCAACAAATTACCAATACTGATAGCTTAAAAACAACAGAAATTTATTCTGTCGCAGTTCTGGAGGCCAGAAGTTTGAAATCAAGGTGTTGGTTTCCTTCTGGAAATTCTGAGGGAAAATCCCTCCCAATGCTTCTTTTCCAGCTTCTGGTGGCTATCGGCAGTTCTTGGAATTCCTTGGCTTACAGACACATTCTTCCAGTGCCTGCCTCAGTTATCATGTGGTCTTCTCTCCATTATCTCTGTGTTTTCTCCCCTTCGGTCGCTTATAATGATATTTGTCATTGGATTTAAGGCCCATCCTAAATCCAGGATGACTTCATCTCAAGAATTCTATTATATTTGCAAAGACTCTTTTTCTAAATAAGATCATATTTCACATATACCCAAGTTAGAACTTGGACGTTCCTTTTGGGGAACATCTTCAATCCAATACCTTTTCTAAAACCATTCCAATTAAATCAGGAACAATATAAGGGTTCCCAAAATTACACACATTCAACATAGTGCTGGAGGTCTAAGCTGGCACAGTAAGTCTAGAAAATGAAGTAGAAAGTATAAGAATTAAAAAATAATTGTCACTAAAAGCAGATGATATGCTTTAGTACACATACACAGAAAAGCCAAACAAATCTACAGAAAAATTGTTGGAATCCACAAGAAACCATGGCATTTGCTAGATACAAAACCATATAAAATACAATTTTATTTCAATATACCAGCCTATAACAGAAAACAAAATAAAAATGTCTAATACAGCACTTAACAATTACTTTGAAAACTGCTCAGTACTTACTTGAGGAATTAAGTCTAAGAGAAATGGATAAGACATTTACACAAAAAATTTTGAAAACTTAGACCTAATTAAATGGAAAGGTTTATGTTCATAGATTGGCAAAATCAGTAGTAAAATGTCAGTGCTCCCCTGTGTGGTACATTTTTATTGTAATCCTAACCAAATTATGACCTCCTCGCCTTTTGTGGAACTTAACAAATTTTCTAAAAAACGTAGGGGACTTGCAGAGTTTAAGAAAAATCAGTCTTGAGAAAAAAAAAATGAATTGTGAGGATTTCCCCCACTCTACAGCAAGACTTTTAATATATACTATTATAACCAGGGATAGAAAATAGAACAGAACAATGTCAAAATAGGGATGCATTAACAGATCCTTGTCATGTGGACGTGTGTTCTAGGGTAGAGGACCGCAGACATTGGACAAAGGTTGCATGTTTTGGTGAGTGAAGATGTGACCATTAGATATCCACAGATGGAAGAAAAACAACTGGATCTCTAGCACACACACATCCAGCGATTGATTCCGTAAGGTTGGTGACAAAGGCAAAAACAGAGTATTTTTAATCCTGCAAGAGGCTGTCTCTGCATTATCTTAACTTCAGCATCTGAAATAGCTAAGGAAGTATTATTTTTTTTTACTTTGTGATTCTGATAAATAAAGCCTTAGGAACTGTTGCCAAAACATAGCAGGTCTCAAAGTTTCTGGAACACGTGTTTCTCATTTTTGTCCTTCATCCTGAAAGGGATGCTATTTCAATGCATTGTGGTGGCACTGCCACCAATGACGTCTTCCCTGGGTCTTACACATTAGCCCAGCAGAAACTCCTCTAATGAACGTGGCATCATTCAGCCTCCCCCAACCAAAACAAAAACAAAAGTGAAAATTAGGTATTGCCAGGATGTTTAATTCTAACTGGGGAGTACTGGGATTCCAGTGAGAATTAACAACTTTGGTTGTTAAACAGGGAATATGTGATCTGTTGATTTAAAAAACTTGGCACAGCTGGATCCTGATGACTCAAACCTGTAGTTCTACTTATGTGGGAGGCTGAGATTGGGAGGATCACTGTTTGAGGACAGCCCTAGCAAAAAAAAAAGTTTGCAGGACCCCATCTCCATGGAAAGAGGCTGGGGGTGGTGGCCCACACCTGTCATCCCTGTTCCCTGGAAGGTGTAAATAAAAGGATCATGGTCCCAGCTGACCCAGGCAAAAATTAAGACTCTGTCTCCAAAATAACCACAGCAAAAAGGGCTGGAGGCATAGCTCAAGTGGTAGAGCAGAAGACCCTGAGTTCAAACCCCAGTACTGGCAAAAAAAAAAAAAAAAAGCAAGTAAAAAACCCTTGGCACATCTCTTCTGTCACTGCATTCCAACATTTGGAACTCTGCCTCAGTTTGACCATGTGAATTAGGGTATGCAGGATAAACTGAAAGCTTTATGTGCTTACATTAACATGCATTTTGCACTCTCCAAAATGTTTTTCTGCAACTTAATTCTCATTCAGCAATAAATCATTTTATTTAATCTCATTTTCCTTTTAAAATATATTTTGGATGGTGTGAGTGGGAAGTGAGGGGTAGCTTGATGGATACTTGTGGGGATGGATTGCTCCTCTGTGTTGTGGTAGTAATTACATGAATGCACATAGAGGTAAAACTGTGTAGAGACACACACACAAACCACACATACACCACTCATA